CATTAAAAGAAAAGGTTTTTTTTTTTTTTATTTTTTACGATAATTACATAGCAACTACACAGCAATTTTGACAATGTTCTCTTAGTTGTTTTTTTTCTGCGTTCCCCCTTTTAAAGTCCAAAATAAGAACACCTTATTTTATCAAAACTTACATAGTTTTCCTCCGTCTAAACTTTAAAAGAGCTTGAAAGAATTAGTATAATTTATTTCATAAACTATAATGTAATTTAGCAAATTAAGATATGATCCATGTAAACTTTGGCTAATTGATCCTTAGAATAAACTTATTTCTGAATGTCACCAATTTAACACAGTAGTGAAATTTTTAAATATCGTTTTTATTTGTATTAACATTGATTTTGTTAAAGAACTAAACAAGCATTCTGAGAGTATTGCATGGCAATACATAGTCCCCTACCGGATAAAAATTCATTATACTGGAACAAAATTCTAACTTGTTCTATAACTTGTCATGGTGTTAACAAAAAAGAAAATATCAAGTCAATATCTTTAAGCATGACTAAAAACAGTGTGGAAAACTGATTATATGAGTGAATTTTTCAAGTCCAAGGACCATAACTCTGCACAAAATTATCAGACCGAAACAAAAATTTGAAAAGAGGGACGAAAGATACCAGAGGGACAGTCAAACTCATAGATCGAAAACAAACTGACAACGACATGGCCAAAAACAAAAAGACAAACAATAGTACAGATGACACAACACAGAAAACCAAAGACTAAGCAACACGAACCCCACCAAAAACCGGGGGTGATCTCAGGTGCTCCGGAAGGGTAAGCAGAATAAGTCTGATCCTGCTCCACATGTGGCACCCGTCGTGTTGCTTATGTTATTACAAATCCGGTAAATAGTCTAATTCGGTAGGTCACATTCGTGAAAAGGGAAGGGTATTGTAGTTACGACTTGAACTTGATCTGTAACTTGTCATGATAAAACTACAATGTATATACCAATTATCAATCAATATCTTCAAGCATGATGAAAAAAAAGTGTGGAAACACTCTAACATTAGATATGATTAATAGTTCTCTAAAATTAGATATGATGTAATACTATGTATATTTATTTTCAAGTTATAATCAAATATAATTAATAGTTCCAAATATTTCTTCTTTCATTTGTCACAAACTAATATAGATTTGTAACTTATCTATAAAATGTCAACAACTTTTATCTATTCACAATGTAATGTAATGAAATATATACCTTAATAAAAATAGATTGTTATCTTTCACTTCATATTTTTTTTTTATGTATATAGCATTCAGAAAATTAGTTTATACAAAATAAAAAACACTTCAAACAATTAACCAAAGAATGTCTTTAAATAAATGTGGATAGTGTCCACATGTGGACACAGATGATGCCCCCGCTTGCATATCATATAGTTATAAAGGGACATAACTGAAGAACGGTAAAAGTGACGCTACCCAAATTTGAACTTGATCTGAGTTTTGTGGTAATAAGCATTGTGTGTAAGTCTCATAACATTTGGTTGAGGCTAACTTAAGTAGAGAACAGACACTAAAAATTCAGCAATTTTTCTATTTGTAAACACGCATAACTCTAGAACGGTTGTGTATAAGTTTTACAACATTTGGTTGAGACAAACTAAAAAATTCAGCAATTTTTATGTTTATAAAGGGACATAGCTCTAGAATGGTAAAAGTGTTGCCACCTAATTTCATACTTAATCTGTATTATGTAGTAATAAGCATTGTGTATAAGTTTCATAACATTTGGTTGAGGCAAACTCAAGTTAGAGAACTGAAACAAAAAAAATGTACTTGATCCTTACTGAGTTTTGTGGTAATGAATATTGTGTATAGGTTTCATAATGTTTGGCTGGGGAAAACTTCAGTTACAGAATGGAAACTAAAAATTTTTGCAATCTTTCGATTTATAAAGGGGCATAACTCAATAATGGTTAAAGTGACACTACCCAAATTCAACTTGATCTGTGTTTTATCAGTGGAAGTCAAAATTAAACATTGCATTGTGTAAAGCATTGATTGTAGTTGATTCAACTATAATCATGGTCAAAGGAAGATAACTCCAATTTTAAAAATATATTATATAAACTTGATATTTAGAAGAAAATAAAAATTTTGCAATTTTTCCTTTCATAAAGGGGCATAACTCTAGATCGGTTAAAGTGACACCACCAAAATTCAAACTTGATCTGTGTTTTGTGGTAATAAGCATTGTGTATAAGTTTCATAACATTTGGTTGAGGCAAACTTAAGTTAGAGAACGGAAACTAAAAATTTTGCAATATTTCCTTTTATAAAGGGGCATAACTCTAGATCGGTTAAAGTGACGCCACCAAAATTCAAACTTGATCTGTGTTTTGTGGTAATAAGCATTGTGTTTAAGTTTCATAACATTTGGTTGAGGCAAACTCAAGTTAGAGAACGGAAACCAATTTCGGGACGTACGGACGGATGTACGTACGTACGTACGTACGTACAGACGGAATAGGGTAAAACTTAATGCCCCCTCCGCTACGGCGGGGGCATAAAAAATGAGTTATCTCTCTTTATATAGAAATATGGTTTAACATACAAAATGTAGTACTCTAACATTAGATATGGACCATGATAACTCTGGACTAAATCATCAGACCGGAACAAAATTTGAACTTGATCTACAACTTATCATGATAAAACTATATACCAAATATCAAATCAATATCTTCAAAAATGAAGAAAAAAAGTGTGGAAAGCTGATTTGCCAGACTGACGGATGGACAGACGGACGGACAGACAGACGGACGTAGTGCAAACCTAAAGTCCCCTTCGACTTCGTCGGTAGGGGACTAATTAATGATCCTACATCCTGTCCATACTGTTTACTTATATTTTGGCATTGCACAGGGTCATGTTTCTGTCCTTACACATCCTTGGCTTTCAACTATTCAGCTTTGAGCGTTCTTGATGAAGGTAAATCCAGAAAAGGGCTTTGGACGCCTGAAATTTAGAACGTGTTGTTTTCATTTTTTTCTCAGACTGTTTATGATGTCTTTACACTAAATTCCTTAGATGTGTAATGATTGATACTTAGTCTGGGAGAACATGATTTATTTATTTGTTGTAATTGGCTTTGAACAAGCTTTCAGTAAATGTGAGTACTATTTTGGTGCTTTGTGTCTATAGTTTTAAGGTTAGTTCTGTTTGTGCCTCATACCAATTTTTTATGTTATGCCCATTGCAAGTGATTTTTACAGTTTGTTTTTATGTTGTGCTGTAACACAACTGTCCCAGGTTAGGTGGAGGGTTGAGCAGTAACAAAAATGTTTAAACCCCACCACATCCTTTATGTCCCAAGTCAGAAGCCTGTAGTTCAGAAATTGTTGTTGGTTCATGTCTGTCATATGTTTTTGAAAATTGTTTTGTTATAAATTAGGCCATTAGTTTTCTCAATTGAATTGTTTCACATTTTTCATGTCTGTGTCATTTTTAACCGACTATACGGTTTGGGTTTTTCTCAGTGTTGAAGGCAGTACGGTTGCTTGTAATTGCTTACATCCACTTCATTTGAACTTTGGTGGATATTTGTTTCATTGGCAGTCATATCACATCTTATTTTTTATTTATTTCACTCCATAAATAACATGACTTTGTCTTCAACTAATTAAGACAACAATGGTAAAGAATAGGTAAAGAAGACCATTCACTGTCATAAGTTACAAAATAAATAAGTATAACATTTATATACATTTTAACAAATAATTGTCAATAGCTCCATCTTGAACTTCATTTACAGGTAAAGACAAAAGGAAGTATTCCTTGATCAATATGGTACAGTTACAGTATGAAAACACGAATTTCCTCTTAAGCAGTCAGGGGCGTTACTTAAACAAGTTATTTTTTTTAGTTACTTGTATAGGTAATTTTTGTTTTTAAAAATGATTAAATTACTCAATAAAGTTATTTTAAATTTCAATCGAAGCATCAACTAAATGTAGTTTTATGAATTTATTAAATCTGAGATGAGTATAGAGATAAAATGTTACTTTAAAGATAATGACAAAAATATTATTCAATGACTCCACTCAAGCATAACTGGAAAATCCTCTCACGGTTGTGTAGATTATCAGCCGTGTTACTTGTATAAGTTATTTTATACATCTTTAAAACAAGAATGTGTCCATAGTACACGGATGCCCCACTCGCACTATCATTTTCTATGTTCAGTGGACCGTGAAATTGGGGTCAAAACTCTAATTTGGCATTAAAATTAGAAAGATCATATCATAGGGAACATGTGTACTAAGTTTCAAGTTGATTGGACTTCAACTTCATCAAAAACTACCTTGACCAAAATCTTTAACCAAAAACTTTAACCCGAAGCGGGACAGAAGGACGAACGGACGAACGGACAGACAAAACGAACGAACGGACGCACAGACCGAAAAACATAATGCCCATAAATTGGGCATAAAAATTAGTAATTACAATTTTTTAAGGAACATATGTAATTGTTTTTGGTTACAAATTATAAACAATTTTAAGTCTTACTGAATCACAAGTTTCCAGCTATCCATATCTGTCTGCCTTTAAGATTTTCAAGGAAAATAGTATTTTAATAGTCCCAAGAGACCAATCTTTGACCCAGAAGCGTGGATATGAAATATAAGTGAGTCAGAAAGGAAATTAGTGCTTCAGGAGGATTAGTTTTTATATTTCATGGGAAAAATAACCAGATGTCTGCAAAAATTTGTTAAAGCTAGTAAAATCTGTATGAATAGACACCTATAAAAATAATATTTACAAAAGTTACTTATATAAGTAAGATTTAAAATAGCCTCGTTTTCAACATAACTTGTATAGATAATTTTGAAAGTTACTTGTTTAAGTAATACCCCTGACTGTTAAACGAAAATTTGATCAAAAGTATTCGACCATACATTTCCCTTGTATGGAAAGAGGCATTGGTTAATATTTTAAGTTAAGAACAATGGTGACAAAAATAAATATATAGGTACATATTTATTTATAGATTTGCTTACAGTGTTCTTTTAACACTTTTTAGTATAAATATTTACAATGCTATAAATAGTAAACACAATATTTTGCTAGCCAAACTTAGCTTCATTGGGTTTGCATCTATCCAGGTAAAATTTGGATGCAGATAAGAAGCTTTTGCAGCCCATTGTACAGATTGATCAATCAGATCTAATTTTGCTGCATAAAAATATTGTATGAAGTCAAGTTTTTTAGATTGACATATGAAATCCATTGTTGTAGTAAGGTTAGTTTGCAAAATTCATTGGCCAATATTACAAGGATATTAAGGATGATGTCAGGAAATGAACTTTATCTTTAACCTTGTGGTACCTTTTTCATGTTTTTTATTCAAACCATCTGGTTCTAAAGTTTGAAACTAATGTGAACCCAAAAGTTTTTCTTCTCCTTCTTGCTGCAGTGCCATTTCATTGTAAACCTAGCTTAACGCTTAAGGGACATAACTTTTACAAATCACAGGTTCTTTATCTCAATCATTTACAGAAGTATATTATAAGCTTCTAAGCAACACAAAATATTTAATTCTATTTCACATGAGTGCTTAAAGAGCATTGATGAAACTGATTATCACAAACACATCACTGATGAAAGGAGTAAGCTCCAAAAACCTGGACTTCTGCTTAATATCTCAAAAAAGTCACATTTGTAATAAGCGTCACATTTGTAATAATAAGCGTCACATCCTCCTCTGAAGAATGAGATTTGATGATTGTGTAATTGCTGTTAACTGTTTTTATTAAAAATTAAAATTAAGGATGGATATGTCCTGTACAATCTCAATAAGCTATTATACCAATACATATCATAAAGTCATTGTAATATTACACAGATAATTCCACCATGTCCGTCTCTCATGTAGAGCCTCATTCCTGCCTTCCCATGATCAGAATCACTGAAGTCATGTCCACTGTTGTCAGGTAAATAAACTGTAAGAAATGACCGTGGTCCATGTCCTAAACACAGGAGAACCTGTTTAAGCTGACCATCATGGAGGTAGTGATACAAGTTTTCTCTGTAATTGTGGTTTGTTTGAAAGTGTTGGGTTACTGTCAGTAAAAATCCAACTACAAATAAAGAGAGAAAGTAATTATATTGTGAGACTTATTTTGAGACAAACGAAAGCAACAAAGGAAATAAATACATATAGAAATTTACTCTCAATACTATTCCATTTTTTTATGATTCTTAAGGAATTCTTCTCATATTTCTTTCAAGCTTTCTTTACTCCCAGTCAATCAGTAATATTGCATTATTTGAACAAATTTTAAAATATTTCTTGTTGTACAATATCTCACTAGAAGTAAGACCTATATATACCTGTTTCATTGAAAAAGTGTATTTCTTTAGGATATCCCGCCAGTAGTTAAGACTTGTATGTGTTCCTCTTATAGTTGATGTGTTTCCCTCGGTTTTAGTTTGTGACCCGGATTTGTTTTCTCTCAATCGATTTATGACTTTTGAACACCGGTATACTACTGTTGCCTTTATTTATATATACCTGTTTCATTGACAAAGTGTATTTCTTTAGGAAATCCTGCCAGTGTTATTGACTGTGTTATAGTGACTACTGCATCAGAATCTATTGTCTCCCTGTAAATAAGATAGCATCTTCATGCATTGTTACTGAACATGCAGAAAATAGTGCATACTGGATGTTAAGCAAGCAGCAATCAATCATTCAATCATCTTGATGCATTTAATATTAAATCATAAACAGTTATTTAATAAAAAAACTCCCATGTAATCTATTTTATATCTTTTGCCATTTATCATAATATAATTATTTTCAAAATCAAATTCATATTGTTTGACAATATTGCTGTTTAAGAGTCAAAATATGAATTTTAAAAATGAAATGTAGAGAATACGTCAATGAGACAGAAACTCAAGGACACATAAAACTGACCAAAGGCTTATTTCAATATGATTGCATGTAGCCATTCTTTTTTTAATTTCATATTTTACAAAAGTAGAGAAAAATGGTGGAGTGATAAGATTGTGGATGTATCACTAATATTGGTGGAATCCAAGGTTCTTGAAAAGAATCATATTTGTAAGTCATGACTGATTGTACAAATGTCTGTAATAAAAGCTATGTTTGTTTTCAGTAACAACTGATGTATCTAAGTGCAATAATAATCCTCAAAAAGTTGATTGAAACCACATGGAATAATTTCCTGACCCTTTGGCAAAATTATTTGCTTTTGACTGTATCATAAAATGTATATAGGTGGAATCACAAGATTTGAAAGTATCACAAAGATTGGTGGAACTGGAGCATTTTGTATATATCATAAATCTATGTATTGACCTTTGGCGAACCTGAAGAAAAAATAGTACAACTTTGAAACTGGAATAATAATGTACCTGTGAATCATTAAAATAAGCAGAAGATTATCCACAGCAATGGCAGCTCTCGTAAATGTCTTGCCAATGTCATCAGTGAAACTCGCTTCCCCAACAACTTTGAATGTTGTGAATTTTATTTTGTCTTTAACTTTTAAGTCGTCTTTCTCCCAAAAGTTACTATCAAGAGGCCTAAAATGTAAAGTAAGATATTTTAAAAATAAGAATTTTTTGAGGCTACTAACTAATATTTCGAAAAAAGATTTAAGATTATCCATCTGAAGACCAGTCTTGTCCTCTGACAGAGAGGTCAAATATCAGTCCTTTGAAGAAAACAAATCTGCCTTTTCCCCCTCTTTCATCAATATGCAGCTGTTTAAACTATTAACTATAGCTCATCACATTAAACTGCACCAGATACACAATTTTATATGAGAATTTTCGATAAAATTGATTTATTTTATTCGTCATACCATTGACATTAAAACTTTTAAAGTGACTTATAGACTCAAAGGGTCGGGTGTTCTAATTATTGTTTTTATATTTCACTGTATTATATACTATTTTGTGAAAAACACATGTCACTATAATAAATAATTTACTTACTTACTGTACAATTAATGTCTCTTTAGTGATGCCCAAGGTCAGATTTTATTGGTGGAGGAAGCCGGAGTGCCCGTAAAAAAACCACTGACCTTCGGTAGGAAAACTGACAATCCCAATCAATTAAGATTGGAGTGGAGTGCACCTGCTCCGTGCGGGATTGGAACTCACAACCTCAAGGTTGACTGGATAGTGATACAGTAGTTCGACTACTTAGACCACTTGGCCACCGAGGCCTCTACAGAATGTAGGAATCTTTTAAAATGTGTGAGTCTCCCAAGAAAGACATGTGTCCCCTTCTTTCTCCACATACAGTAGTACAGAATGTAGGAATCTTTTAAAATTAAAGAATTTTCTAAGGAATTTGTGTGTCCCCGGTTATCTCTAAATAATATACATTGTAAGCAGTAATGATGAAATCTTTTTATCATTTAAATATCTCAGTGAGGTCTTCAAAACAGAATTCAAATAGGAAAATACTTATTTGTTGCATTCAGGATCTAATGGTTAAATCATCCTATAAAATACTCACTTGTTCAGTATAGGACTTAATGGTAGTAACGAGGGAAGATCAACAAATTTAACCTCTCCTGAGGTTGTAAGGAGAACCAATATATCTGCCACAGATCCCATGCTGAACATTTCTCCTAAGTAATCTGCTTCATTTCGGACACCATTGCAAGAACTTAACAACCTATGAATAAATCACAACACTTAAAATATATGCTGTTGTGTAGTATATAAGTCAGGGCCTCAATTTTTTGTGTGTTGTGTAGTATATAAGTCAGGGTCTCAATGTTTTTGTGTGTTGTGAAGTATAGAAGTCAGGGCCTCAACGTTTTTGTGTGTTGTGCAGTATAGAAGTCAGGGCCTCAACGTTTTTGTGTGTTGTGTAGTATAGAAGTCAGGGCCTCAATGTTTTTGTGTGTTGTGTAGTATAGAAGTCAGGGCCTCAATGTTTTTGTGTGTTGTGTAGTATATAAGTCAGGGCCTCAATGTTTTTGTGTGTTGTGTAGTATATAAGTAAGGGTCTCAATATTTTTGTGTGTTGTGTAGTATAGAAGTCAGGGCCTCAATGTTTTTGTGTGTTGTGTAGTATATAAGTCAGAGGGCCTCAATGTTTTTTGTGTGTTGTGTAGTATAGAAGTCCGGGCCTCAATGTTTTTGTGTGTTGTGTAGTATATAAGTCAGGGTCTCAATGTTTTTGTGTGTTGTGTAGTATATAAGTCAGGGCCTCAATGTTTTTGTGTGTTGTGTAGTATAGAAGTCAGGGCCTCAATGTTTTTTGTGTGTTTTGTAGTAAATAAGTCAGAGGGCCTCAATGTTTTTGTGTTGTGTAGTATAGAAGTCAGGGCCTCAATGTTTTTGTGTGTTGTGTAGTATATAAGTCAGGGCCTCAATGTTTTTGTGTGTTGTGTAGTATATAAGTCAGGGCCTCAATGTTTTTGTGTGTTGTGTAGTATATAAGTCAGGGCCTCAATGTTTTTGTGTGTTGTGTAGTATATAAGTCAGGGCCTCAATGTTTTTGTGTGTTGTGTAGTACATAAGTCAGGGCCTCAATGTTTTTGTGTGTTGTGTGGTATATAAGTCAGGGCCTCAATGTTTTTGTGTGTTGTGTAGTATATAAGTCAGGGTCTCAATGTTTTTGTGTGTTGTCTAGTATATAAGTCAGGGCCTTTTGTGTGTTGTGTAGTATATAAGTCAGGGTCTCAATGTTTATGTGTGTTGTCTAGTATATAAGTCAGGGCCTTTTGTGTGTTGTGTAGTATATAAGTCAGGGCCTCAATGTTTTTGTGTGTTGTGTAGTATATAAGCCAACCAGTATTCGTTTCACAACTGATAAACTGATAACATGCAGACTCTTTGTTTTCTTTATATGTAAATCAATGGAGTTTTGGAGATAGAATTTCTACTTGTGGGTACAGTTTTTTGGATTGAATTTATGTGGGACTTGATTTGTAATTTTACAAGCTAAAAAGAAATTAACCAGTACATTGATGAAAATAAATCTTCTACAAATAATCCAAAGTAGTATCTCTCATTGACCATGTGACTGTACATTGTAATAGTACACAATGTACGTCTGTTAATTGATAAGATTAAAATTCTCTATCAAAAACAAAGTACTGGCATACTGTTGACGACGCCAACGTCATACCAATATACGACCACAAAAATCTTTTTGCGGTCGTATAAAAAAAGTACTTTTTTTTTCTTTTAAAACTATTTATAAATATCTTAGAGAAATGAAGGCTTCAGAGCAAATGCAAAGTGATTTCCGTTATAATTAATTTTTCCAAGGAGCATAACTCGTTAAAATATTTGATCAGCACTTATTTCGAAATTGTCAGACATTACTGATATAAACCTATGATATAAGTTTCATAAAAATTCTGACAAGAATTTAACACATGAGAGCGCTAACAATGCAATTTTCCATATAATCGATATTTCCAAGGAACATAACTCTTTAAAAAATAATTGATCAGCACCAATTTTCAATTTTGTCTGAGACATTGATGATATAAACCTATAATATTAATTTCATAAAAATCTGGCAAGAATTGTACAAATGAGAGTGCTAACAATGCAATTTTCCATATAATCAATATTTCCAAGGTGCATAACTCTTTTAAAAATTATTGATCTGCACTGATTTTCGAACTCATCAAAAACATTGATGATATAAACCTATAATATAAATTTCATAAAAATCTGGCAAGAATTGTACACATGAGAGCACTAACAATGCAATTTTCCATATAATCAAAATTTCCAAGGGGCATAACTTTTTTAAAAATAATTGCGCGTTTATGGGGGGGGGGGGGGGGTGGGGGGGGGGGGGGGGGGTGGGGTGGTGGGGGGAGGGGGGACAACAAATTAACAATGAGATTTGTATTAACTGATTAGATCAGTATTCTAATATGACGTGCTTCTTTCGCTTTGTAAACAGTGTGATAAAATTCTTGATATATCTATACTTAGCGCAGACTCAGAGATGTATATATGAATGGCTGTTACTATTCACCTCCCACGTAAATCCACATGTATCATAAAATTGAGAATGGAAATGGGGAATGTGTCAAAGAGACAACAACTCGACCATATAGCAGATAACAGCCGAAGGCCACCAATGGGTCTTCAATGCAGCGAGAAACTCCCGCACCCAGAGTCGTCCTTCAGCTGGCCCCTAAACAAATATGTATACTAGTTCAGTGATAATGGACGTCATACTAAACTCCAAATTATACACAAGAAACTAAAATTAAAAATGATACAAGACTAACAAAGGCCAGAGGCTCCTGACTTGGGACAGGCGCAAAAATGCGGAGGGGTTAATCATGTTTTTTGAGATCTCAACCCTCCCCCTATACCTCTAGCCAATGTAGAAAAAACAAACGTACAACAGTATGCACAGTAAAACTCAGTTTAAGAGAAGTCCGAGTCTGATGTCAGAATAGGAAACAAAAGAAAATAAACAAAATGACAATAATACATAAATGAACAAAGGACTACTAGCAGTTACTGACATGCCAGCATCATAACCTTTGTCCAAACACTAAGTGGATTTTGTTGTGTTTGAATTGAAATTAAAAAAGAAACTACAGAACTGTTATTCTAATGCATAACAAAAAGAATTAATGCATAAGATTTAAAAAAATGTATAAACTGTTGACACAGAGATATGTCTCGTCTATCCGCATAAAATTCAGAAAAATACAATCTGATGGACAGCAACATTGCTTATTAATTCAGCCACTGGACCATGATCTAGTGTGCAGGGCCTGAAAATAGTCTTCAAACTGATATGTACTGATAGTAACTCAACTTCATACAAAATATCATTGATCTATCACAAGTAGATCCTATCAAACTAACTTAAGCAGAAAATTTAACATTGAAAATTGCTAATTAATTCAAAGTCACTGGACCATATCCTAGGGGGCAGGGCCTCAAAACAGTCGTTAAACTGATATGTACTGATAGTAATGCAACTATATATTGAATATCAATGACCTATCACAAGTAGTTCCTATCAAACTAACTTAAGCAGAAAACTTAACAATTGTTGACGCCGTCACCGTCACCATCAGCATCGCCGGAAAGGCTATCCCTATGCCTCGCTTTCTGCCACTTTCGTTGCAGGCGAGACAATAAAAATAAAATTAAATTCCGTGAAATTTCATGAATGATCTTGGCACATTAACGTCTTGTCAAAACATGACGTCATACGAATGAAAACTCTCAAGCTGAAGATTGTTCCGTTACGTGTATGCTCTAAATTCAGATAATATTGCATTTAAATGGAGTTTTGAGGTAGGTTTCTATTTCATCATTTGCAAATTCATGGATTTCAGCAAGTCAACATGGCGGCTCACTCCTTAGTTAAGACATGTCAACTGTGGATTTGACAGTAAATAGTAGCCAACGAAAAAAAATATTTGGGTTAAGAATTATAAGGATTGAACACATTTTTTCTAGTGGTTATTTAAGAAATAATTCATGCAAGCCTTCGATTTATTTGAAATTTGTAGCTTTTATCTTACAGGGGTAAAATAGAACAGCCATACACTCGGCAATCTTACCTTCGCTTCGGTTTTTCAAATTACTGTATTTGTCCTATTAGAATCGAAATAATTCATGCAAGCCATAGATTTGTTATCATTTTCACATGGATAATGCCCGAGATAAATTCAAATATAACGGCCCAGGCCATGTGAAAATTTCCAACAAATCTATGGCTTGCATGAATTATTTCTTAACTAATATTCTGTTTACTCTGATGATCAGTAGACAGTGAGATTTGTATTTTATTCATTTCAAAGAAATCACATACTGCTTAATCAGACGACCAGTAGACAGAAAGATTTGTGTGTATTTGGGATCTAAATTAAAGTACTGACACACTGTTTACTCAGTAGACAGTGAGGTTTGTGTGTATTTGTGATCTAAATTAAAGTACTGACACACTGTTTACTCAGTAGACAGTGAGATTTTCTTTTCAAAGAAACCAAACTTACATATTACTCATGGTCAGACTATACACTTTACTCTCGTGAGTTATAGGGTCCATCTGAAGGATATCAGTAAGAAGTTTAGTACGTAACCGATCATTTATCATTTCACCGTGTCTGTCATATGTCAGGAAATCCCTGTAAATAATATCAAGCTTGCAATACAATTAACAATTATACATTTTAAAAGAACAGTACAAAAGATTTCCTAGTTTTAAGAATAAGCAGACTTTTTCAGAAATTAACTCAATTCCAAAATTATCAGCCAATCTTTCAATGACTCATTACAATAAATATATACATAGAAATTTTATGCCATACTTTGACAACAGCCAAAGAGTGGATTTAAAGTCTTATAGGACTGTAAGTATGCTTTATTTTATCACTTTGCACTTTGATGACTTGACTTATGAGTTTGACTGTCCCTCTTTTACACTTTGATGACTTTACTTTGCAGTTGGTTAAAATTTCTGACCAGTTTAACAGTTTGATTTGATTTTGGTCAAAATTTTGAATGGAATTTTGAATGAACTGCAACAGGAATAAAATGCTCCGCTGGGTGCAGCTTGATACGACCACAGAGGTCGAACCCTGAACAGTTGGGGCAAGTATGGACACAACATTCAAGCTTGGTACAGCACTGAATTTGGATTGTGATTAAATATTTGACACAGCATAGGTTTCTCACACAGAATGTATGTGGTCTAAGAACTTAAAATTTTTTAATTTACCTATTCAAACCATATCATTATTATTTGCTTTTATATATAAATCAGAAATAACCAATTTAAAATGGAAAATTTTAAAGAAAAAAAAAGGAAAAAAAGGAAAAAAAAATCCCCCCCCCCCCAATTTTTTGAACCCCCTTATGATTCATCACCCCAAAACTCAATCCCAGCCTTCCCTTTGTGGTATGGTACCTTGCAGTACAATTTCAGAGAGATCCATACACTTAAACACAAGTTATTGTCTGGAAACTAGAAAAATGCTTGTTTTTTGGCCCCGAATTCCTAAATGTTTAGGGCAATTACCCCCAAACTCAAACCCAGCTTTCCCTTTGTGATATGGAACCTTGTAGTATAATTTCATAAAGATCCATACACTTACACACAAGTTATTGTCATGAAACTAGAAAAATGCTTGTTTTTTGCCCCTTTTTGGCCCCTAATTCCTATAATTTTGAGGCAATTACCCCGAAAATCAATCCCAGCCTTCCCTTTGTGGTATGGTACCTTGCAGTACAATTTCAGAGAGATCCATACACTTGAACACAAGTTACTGTCTGGAAACTAGAAAAATGCTTATTTTTGGCCCCTTATTCCTAAACGTTTTGAGTAATTACCCCTAAACTCAATTCCAGCTTTTCCTTTGTGACATGGAACCTTGTAGTACAATTTCAGAAAGATCCATACACTTACACACAAGTTATTGTCATGAAACTAGAAAAATGCTTGTTTTTGCCCCCTTTTTGGCCCCTAATTCCTTAAATTTTGAGGCAATTACCCCCAAAATCAATCCCAGCATTCCCTTTGTGATATGGAACCTTGTAGTACAATGTCAGAGAGATCCATACACTAACACACAAGTTATGTCTGGAAGTTACAAAAATGCTTACTTTTGGCCCCTAATTCCTTAACTTTTGGTACCATAACCCCCAAAATCAATCCCAACCTTCCTTTTGTGGTATTGAACCTTATGGTAAAATTTCATAGAGATCCATTCACTTAAACTCAAGTTAGAGTGCGAAAACCAATGCGTCTTCGGACGACGACGACGACGCCGCCAACGTCATACCAATATACGATTTTTGCGGTCGTATTAAAACTCGTAATAAATGTCCTGCGGCTCTTTTCACAAAAAATCGTAAGAGTAAAAATACTCATAAGTCATACACATTTCAGTATAACTTACGATCAATTTTAATCGTAAGATTTTTTGTGAAAAGAGTCGCTGAACGGTAGGTTTAACATAAATTTCAATCATTTTTTATAAATAAACACCTAATTGGCAAAAACAATAATGTTAAAAAAAAAATCTAATAAGATACTTAATAAATAAAAGAACAGAGTTCCAATGTCCCCCGCCACATATTTTATCTATCCAAGGTACAAGGGCAATAACTAAAAAAACGCACTCTTTTTTTTTGTTCTTTAGAACTTTTATTAATATCTTAGAGAAATAAAGGCTTAAGACAGATGCAATATGATTTCCATTTTAATTAATATTTCCAAGGGGCATAACTCTTTAAAAATATTTGATCAGAACTTATTTTTGAAATTGTCAAAGACATTGCTGATATAAACCTATGATATAAGTTTCATAAAATTCTGACAAGAATTGAACACATGAGAGTGCTAACAATGCAATTTTCCATATAAATCAATATTTCCAAGGGGCATAACTCTTTAAAAAATAATTGATCGGCACTGATTTTTGAACTCGTCAGAGACATTGATAGTATAGACCTATAATATAAATTTCATAAAAATCTGGGAATAATGGTACACATTAGAGCGCTCATAAGGCAATTTTCCATATAATTAATATTTCCAAGGGGCATAACTCTTTTAAAAATTTTTAATCGGCACTGATTTTCGAACTCGTCAAAGACATTACTGATATAAACCTATCATCAAAGTTTCATAAAAATCTGGCAAGAATTGTACACATGAGAGCACTAACAAGATCAGACGGACGGACGCCCGGTATTTCTATGTATTGTGCGGGGGACAATAAAGTGTTATACAGAATACATCATGATATGACTGCAACAAGATAAAACAGAAGTATGATCTGACTGTAACAAGATAAAACAGAAGTATGATCTGACTGTAACAAGATAAAACAGAAGTATGATCTAACTGTAACAAGATAAAACAGAAGTATGATATGACTGTAACAAGATAAAACAGAAGTATGATCTGACTGTAACAAGATAAAACAGAAGTATGATCTGACTGTAACAAGATAAAACAGAAGTATGATCTGACTGTAACAAGATAAAACAGAAGTATGATCTGACTGTAACAAGATAAAACAGAAGTATGATCTGACTGTAACAAGATAAAACAGAAGTATGATCTGACTGTAACAAGATAAAACAGAAGTATGATCTGACTGTAACAAGATAAAACAGAAGTATGATCTGACTGTAACAAGATAAAACAGAAGTATGATCTGACTGTAACAAGATAAAACAGAAGTATGATCTGACTGTAACAAGATAAAACAGAAGTATGATCTGACTGTAACAAGATAAAACAGAAGTATGATATGACTGTAACAAGATAAAACAGAAGTATGATCTGACTGTAACAAGATAAAACAGAAGTATGATCTGACTGTAACAAGATAAAACAGAAGTATGATATGACTGTAACAAGATAAAACAGAAGTATGATCTGACTGTAACAAGATAAAACAGAATCATGCTCATTGCAATAATAAAAGTGATTATAATTCTGGTAAAACATATTTTTCAGTAAATGTGAGTACTCTTGTCTGTAAATTTGTCCTTTCATTTGTTGTTTGTGCTTAGTACAGATCTGATAAGTCCAGCTCCTTTTCAAATGATTTTTACAGTTTCCTTCTATTTTTGTATTGTAACACTACTGTCCTAGGCTTAGAAGAGGGATAAGTGTTCACAGACATGTGGTGATCCCCCCATATTCATTCTAATCATGGAGTCTATAATCCTCTGGTTGTTGTTGTTTGCTGTCTGTCATTATTGTTAAAAGCATAGTTTTTAATGTTTTTCTGCACTGGGTAGATACCTCTGCTGGTGGACTATCGGTTCCCGAGGGTATCATCAGCTCAGTAGTCAGTACTTCTGAACGACATGATTTATAACAAACTTTACTAAAATTGTCTGTTTATAAATTTTGAAATTATAAAGAAACTAAGGTTTCAACTCCCTCAGGCAAAGTTGACCTTAGATGGATTTGGCTATTTTTTTAAAGTCTTTTTTGGTTATATAGCTCTTCAACTGTTTTGGTTCTTATACATCCTTGGCTTTTAAATATTCCGCTGTGAGCATTCCTGATATAGGTAAATCCAGAAAAGCGCTTCGGACACATGAAATGAATAAAATGTTGTTTTCTTTTTTTAAGTTATAAGTGTTCTCTTTTGAATTGCTTTAAATTCATTCATCCAGTGACGTTTTATAGCTTTCTTTGCAAGATAGGTTTTGCTTATTGCCACAACTGGTGATACTATAGACACAAAAACTTACTTAACCATTGATAGCTCCAGCACAGGAGGTACTATAGACACAAAAACTAACTTAACCATCGATAGCCCCAGCACTGGAGGTACTATAGACACAAAAACTTACTTAACCAATGATAGCCCCAGCACCAGAGGTACTATAGACACAAAACTTACTTAACCATCGATAGCCCCAGCACCAGATATACTATATATATATACAGAAACATACTAACCCATTTGCAGACAAAGCACCGTTGGCACTATAGATACAGACACATACTAACCCATCTGTAGACAAAGCACCGTTGGCACTATAGATACAGAAACATACTAACCCATCTGTAGACAAAGCACCGTTGGCACTATAGATACAGAAACATACTAACCCATCTGTAGACCGAGCACCGTTGGCACTATAGATACAGAAACATACTAACCCATCTGTAGACCCAGCACCGTTGGCACTATAGATACAGAAACATACTAACCCATCTGTAGACCCAGCACCGTTGGCACTATAGATACAGAAACATACTAACCCATCTGTAGACCCAGCACCGTTGGCACTATAGATACAGAAACATACTAACCCATCTGTAGACCCAGCACCGTTGGCACTATAGATACAGAAACATACTAACCCATCTGTAGACCCAGCACCGTTGGCACTATAGATACAGAAACATACTAACCCATCTGTAGACCCAGCACCGTTGGCACTATAGATACAGAAACATACTAACCCATCTGTAGACCCAGCACCGTTGGCACTATAGATACAGAAACATACTCACCCATCTGTAGACCCAGCACCGTTGGCACTATAGATACAGAAACATACTAACCCATCTGTAGACCCAGCACTGTTGGCACTATAGATACAGAAACATACTAACCCATCTGTAGACCCAGCACCGTTGGCACTATAGATACAGAAACATACTAACCCATCTGTAGACCCAGCACCGTTGGCACTATAGATACAGAAACATTCTGACCCCTCTGCAGACCCAGCACCGTTGGCACTATAGATACAGAAACATACTCACCCATCTGTAGACCCAGCACCGTTGGCACTATAGATACAGAAACATACTAACCCATCTGTAGACCCAGCACCGTTGGCACTATAGATACAGAAACATACTAACCCATCTGTAGACCCAGCACCGTTGGCACTATAGATACAGAAACATACTCACCCATCTGTAGACCCAGCACTGTTGGCACTATAGATACAGAAACATACTAACCCATCTGTAGACCCAGCACCGTTGGCACTATAGATACAGAAACATACTAACCCATCTGTAGACAAAGCACCGTTGGCACTATAGATACAGAAACATACTAACCCATCTGTAGACCCAGCACCGTTGGCACTATAGATACAGAAACATACTAACCCATCTGTAGACCCAGCACCGTTGGCACTATAGATACAGAAACATACTAACCCATCTGTAGACCCAGCACTGTTGGCACTATAGATACAGAAACATACTAACCCATCTGTAGACCCAGCACCGTTGGCACTATAGATACAGAAACATACTAACCCATCTGTAGACCCAGCACTGTTGGCACTATAGATACAGAAACATACTAACCCATCTGTAGACCCAGCACCGTTGGCACTATAGATACAGAAACATACTAACCCATCTGTAGACCCAGCACCGTTGGCACTCTAGATACAGAAACATACTAACCCATCTGTAGACCCAGCACCGTTGGCACTATAGATACAGAAACATACTGACCCATCTGTCGACCCAGCACTGTTGGCACTATAGATACAGAAACATACTGACCCATCTGTCGACCCAGCACCGTTGGCACTATAGATACAGAAACATACTGACCCATCTGTAGACCCAGCACCGTTGGCACTATAGATACAAGACCCAGCACCGTTGGCACTATAGATACAGACACATACTAACCCATCTGTAGACCCAGCACCGTTGGCACTATAGATACAGACACATACTAACCCATCTGTAGACCCAGCACCGTTGGCACTATAGATACAGAAACATACTCACCCATCTGTGGACCCAGCACTGTTGGCACTATAGATACAGAAACATACTAACCCATCTGTAGACCCAGCACCGTTGGCACTATAGATACAGAAACATACTAACCCATCTGTGGACCCAGCACCGTTGGCACTATAGATACAGAAACATACTAACCAATCTGTAGACCCAGCACTGTTGGCACTATAGATACAGAAACATACTAACCCATCTGTAGACCCAGCACCGTTGGCACTATAGATACAGAAACATACTAACCCACCTGTAGACCCAGCACCGTTGGCACTATAGATACAGAAACATACTAACCCATCTGTAGACCCAGCACCGTTGGCACTATAGATACAGAAACATACTAACCCATCTGTAGACAAAGCACTGTTGGCACTATAGATACCCCATCTGTAGACCCAGCACCGTTGGCACTATAGATACAGAAACATACTAACCCATCTGTAGACCCAGCACTGTTGGCACTATAGATACAGAAACATACTAACCGATCTGTAGACCCAGCACCGTTGGCACTATAGATACAGAAACATACTAACCCATCTGTAGACCCAGCACCGTTGGCACTATAGATACAGAAACATACTAACCCATCTGTAGACAAAGCACTGTTGGCACTATAGATACCCCATCTGTAGACCCAGCACCGTTGGCACTATAGATACAGAAACATACTAACCCATCTGTAGACCCAGCACCGTTGGCACTATAGATACAGAAACATACTCACCCATCTGTAGACAAAGCACCGTTGGCACTATAGATACAGAAACATACTAACCCATCTGTAGACCCAGCACTGTTGGCACTATAGATACAGAAACATACTAACCTATCTGTAGACCCAGCACTGTTGGCACTATAGATACAGAAACATACTAACCCATCTGTAGACCAAGCACCGTTGGCACTATAGATACAGAAACATACTAACCCATCTGTAGACCCAGCACCGTTGGAACTATAGATACAGAAACATACTAACCCATCTGTAGACCCAGCACCGTTGGCACTATAGATACAGAAACATACTAACCCATCTGTAGACCCAGCACCGTTGGCACTATAGATACAGAAACATACTAACCCATCTGTAGACAAAGCACTGTTGGCACTATAGATACAGAAACATACTAACCCATCTGTAGACAAAGCACTGTTGGCACTATAGATACAGAAACATACTAACCCATCTGTAGACCCAGCACCGTTGGCACTATAGATACAGAAACATACTAACCCATCTGTAGACAAAGCACTGTTGGCACTATAGATACAGAAACATACTAACCCATCTGTAGACCCAGCACCGTTGGCACTATAGATACAGAAACATACTAACCCATCTGTAGACAAAGCACCGTTGGCACTATAGATACAGAAACATACTAACCCATCTGTAGACAAAGCACCGTTGGCACTATAGATACAGAAACATACTAACCCATCTGTAGACCCAGCACTGTTGGCACTATAGATACCCCATCTGTAGACCCAGCACCGTTGGCACTATAGATACAGAAACATACTAACCCATCTGTAGACCCAGCACCGTTGGCACTATAGATACAGAAACATACTAACCCATCTGTAGACCCAGCACCGTTGGCACTATAGATACAGAAACATACTAACCCATCTGTAGACCCAGCACTGTTGGCACTATAGATACCCCATCTGTAGACCCAGCACCGTTGGCACTATAGATACAGAAACATACTAACCCATCTGTAGACCCAGCACCGTTGGCACTATAGATACAGAAACATACTAACCCATCTGTGGACCCAGCACCGTTGGCACTATAGATACAGAAACATACTAACCCATCTGTAGACCCAGCACTGTTGGCACTATAGATACAGAAACATACTGACCCATCTGTAGACAAAGCACTGTTGGCACTATAGATACAGAAACATAATGACCCATCTGTAGACCCAGCACCGTTGGCACTATAGATACAGAAACATACTAACCCATCTGTAGACCCAGCACCGTTGGCACTATAGATACAGAAACATACTGACCCATCTGTAGACAAAGCACCGTTGGCACTATAGATACAGAAACATACTAACCCATCTGTAGACCCAGCACCGTTGGCACTATAGATACAGAAACATACTAACCCATCTGTAGACCCAGCACCGTTGGCACTATAGATACAGAAACATACTAACCCATCTGTAGACCCAGCACCGTTGGCACTATAGATACAGAAACATACTGACCCATCTATAGACCCAGCACCGTTGGCACTATAGATACAGAAACATACTCACCCATCTGTAGACCCAGCACCGTTGGCACTATAGATACAGAAACATACTAACCCATCTGTGGACCCAGCACCGTTGGCACTATAGATACAGAAACATACTAACCCATCTGTAGACACAGCACCGTTGGCACTATAGATACAGAAACATACTAACCCATCTGTAGACCCAGCACCGTTGGCACTATAGATACAGAAACATACTCACCCATCTGTAGACCCAGCACTGTTGGCACTATAGATACAGAAACATACTCACCCATCTGTAGACCCAGCACCGTTGGCACTATAGATACAGAAACATACTCACCCATCTGTAGACCCAGCACCGTTGGCACTATAGATACAGAAACATACTCACCCATCTGTAGACCCAGCACCGTTGGCACTATAGATACAGAAACATACTAACCCATCTGCAGACAAAGCACCGTTGGCACTATAGATACAGAAACATACTAACCCATCTGTGGACCCAGCACCGTCGGCACTATAGATACAGAAACATACTTACCCATCTGTGGACCCAGCACCGTTAGCACTATAGATACAGAAACATACTAACCCATCTGTAGACCCAGCACCGTTAGCACTATAGATACAGAAACATACTAACCCATCTGTGGACCCAGCACCGTTGGCACTATAGATACAGAAACATACTAACCCATCTGTAGACCCAGCACCGTTAGCACTATAGATACAGAAACATACTAACCCATCTGTGGACCCAGCACCGTTAGCACTATAGATACAGAAACATACTAACCCATCTGTGGACCCAGCACCGTTAGCACTATAGATACAGAAACATACTGACCCATCTGTGGACCCAGCACCGTTGGCACTATAGATACAGAAACATACTCACCCATCTGTAGACCCAGCACCGTTGGCACTATAGATACAGACACATACTAACCCATCTGTAGACCCAGCACCGTTGGCACTATAGATACAGAAACATACTAACCCATCTGTAGACCCAGCACCGTTGGCACTATAGATACAGAAACATACTAACCCATCTGTAGACCCAGCACCGTTGGCACTATAGATACAGAAACATACTAACCCATCTGTAGACCCAGCACCGTTGGCACTATAGATACAGAAACATACTAACCCATCTGTAGACCCAGCACTGTTGGCACTATAGATACAGAAACAATCTGATCTCTTCATCATCATTGGTGTTTGTTTGGCAAAATGTACAAATTTATAGGTCAGATGTACAAAGGATGGTTTCATAAACAACTCTCTTGTTGTTGTATTTAATATCTGAAATATAAAACTTAATTTTAGATTGTTCTGCAACAAACCGTCTGAGAATATTGTACAGAGTATCTACACAGAAAGGTCTAAAGAATCATTTGAACACTATAACTGATGGTTACCACAAAGAAATATTTGTTTCAGAAATATTCTGAGTGTATTGCAGAGAGAGGTCACACATACATGCAGCTCTAAAAGAAACATTCCAAGAGTTTTGCTGAGAGCTACTACACAGAGAGCTCAAAACAATACATCTGAAAGTATTGCTAAGTGTATTTTCATAGACAGCACTAAATAAACTGCTTCGCCGAGCGCAGCTGGATACGACCACAGAGGTCCAACCCTGAACAGGTGGGGCAAAAATGGACACAATATTCAAGCTTGATACAGGTCTGAATTTGGATTGTAATTAAATATTTGACACATTATAGGTTTCTGACACAGAATAAATGTAGTCAAAGAACTTGAAATTGGTTATATGATTTGAATTTATATTCAATTGAAGATTTCTTGCTGTTGTGCAATACACTGTGCTGTTGAGCAATACTTACTGTTTTCAGACTATATACAAAGAATTAGCAAAATAAATTGTGACCCCCAATTTTTTTTTTGGAAAATTGATAATTTCTTAAATCTTGACGAAAAAAATTGACAACCCCCTCCAAAAAAAAAATATTTGAAGAAATTTTCTTTTTGTAAAATGTGGTACAATTTAAGAGACATCCATACACTTAAACACAAGTTAATGTCTGAAAACTAGAAAAGTGCTTGTTTTGGCCTTTTTTTGGCCCCTAAAATATTTGAAGAAATTTTCTTTTTGTAAAATGTGGTACAATTTAAGAGACATCCATACACTTAAACACAAGTTAATGTCTGAAAACTAGAAAAGTGCTTGTTTTGGCCTTTTTTTGGCCCCTAATTCCTGAACGGTTTGAGCAATTACCCCCAAAATGAATCCCAACCTTCTACTTGTGGTATTGAACCTTGTGGAACAATTTCAGAGCAATCAAAATACTTATACACAAGTTTTTGTCCTGAAACTATAAAAATGCTTGTTTTGGGCCCCTTTTTGGCCCCTAATTCCTAAACGGTTGGGACCATCACCGCCAAAAACAAACCCAACCTTCCTTTTGTGGTATTGAACCTTTTGTTTAAATTTCATAGAGATCCATACACTTAAACTAAAGTTATTGTCTGGAAACCAAATGTCTTCGGACGACGACGACGTGATAGCATTATACGAACACAAGTTTTTTGCGGTCGTATAAAAACAATATAAGAATATTACCAAGAGTAGTCACAGAGACAGCTCTAAAAGAAATATTCAGAGTGTATTGCCAACAATATGGTATGATATCTTGTACATCATTACAAATCTTGTGTACATCATTACCAATCTTGTGTGTAGCCTACGTTCTGCTAGTGATGGTAATTTTATTTTGGTAAACATATTTGTAACACTACTTGTATTATGGTATTCGTTGCAGATATAGTGAGAAGCTAATCATTAGACCATCTCAATGTTGGATACCGATTGGGTTGTGTGGGGGTCCCAAACAGAACAAGAATATTCAAGTTTGAGCCCAGTCTTGTTTCTGGTATATATTGATGACCTGCCAGACTACTTGACCCACAATAAGCTCAGGCTATTCACAGATGTTAGTATTATATACAGACCAATCAGATCCGATAGTGACTGTGATAAATTCCAAGTGGATCAGTGTTATCATCTGAGATTAGCCTGAGCTTACTGTGTGTTAAGTAGACTGGCTGGTCAATAATATATACCAGAAACAAGACTGGGCCCAAGAAAATACCTTGAGGAACACCAGATGTGACAGGGAATGTTGATGATGACTTTCCATCTATAACTATGGTTTCTTTTAAGTCTCACCACTTCTCCCTTTCAAAAAAGGAAGACACTACTTCCTATTATTCTGAAGTAGTGTGAGCCCTGTTCACTAGACTTCAAGTTAACACCAATAATCTTCTCTTTTTTCTGAGGAAATGCTGATACCCATAATGCATCATTGAAGCAGCAGATTTATATTACTACCATTAAAAGATGTTGACTAACATAACATATCTATATCTATTTACCATGAGTAAACACTGATTGTTGTACCTCAAAGTAAATGAAGTAAATGTATCTATTTACCATGAGTAAACACTGATTGTTGTACCTCAAAGTAAATGAAGTAAATGTATCTATTTACCATGAGTAAACACTGATTGTTGTATCTCAAAGTAAATGAAGTAAATGTATCTATTTACCATGAGTAAACACTGATTGTTGTACCTCAAAGTAAATGAAGTAAATGTATCTATTTACCATGAGTAAACACTGATTCTTGTATCTCAAAGTAAATGAAGTAAATGTATCTATTTACCATGAGTAAACACTGATTGTTGTACCTCAAAGTAAATGAAGTAAATGTATCTATTTACCATGAGTAAACACTGATTGTTGTATCTCAAAGTAAATGAAGTAAATGTATCTATTTACCATGAGTAAACACTGATTGTTGTACCTCAAAGTTAATCTATTTACCATGAGAAAACACTGATTGTTGTACCTCAAAGTTAATCTATTTTCCATGAGTAAACACTGATTGTTGTACCTCAAAGTTAATCTATTTTCCATGAGTAAACACTGATTGTTGTACCTCAAAGTAAATGAAGCAAATGTATCTATTTACCATGAGTAAACACTGATTGTTGTACCTCAAAGTAAATGAAGTAAATGTATCTATTTACCATGAGTAAACACTGATTGTTGTATCTCAAAGTAAATGAAGTAAATGTATCTATTTACCATGAGTAAACACTGATTGTTGTACCTCAAAGTTAATCCATTTACCATGAGAAAACACTGATTGTTGTACCTCAAAGTTAATCTATTTTCCATGAGTAAACACTGATTGTTGTACCTCAAAGTTAATCTATTTACCATGAGTAAACACTGATTTCTGTTACTCGAGACTGACAAAATAAATGTTTATATTTACCATGAGTAGATGTTGATCGTCATAACTCAAAGCTAACACAAGTCCTCTATCAAATACACAGACATCAATGACAGAGAACACATCAAATGATCGCTGAGGTTTGTTAACTGTCTTTACTTGTTTCTTCCTGCCTTTTTTATCATTCTGCTTTTTGTTCTTTTGCTTTTTCTGGAGGTTACATTTAATATACTGCTCTAGGTCACCAGAAGATGTTAGGTCACCAGTCTGTAAACATATAAAACAATGAGTAAACTGGCTGATCTGGATATTCTTGAAAGCAGAAGGGAGCTACCATTTGATTTATATGAGGGGGGGGGGGGGGGGGTAGGGGGGGGGGTAGGATGAAATTTGAAATAAAAAGGCAGGACAGGAGTTTGAGTAAAAAAAAAAGGCAGGATGACAATTTATGTAAAAAAAGTCAGGATAAACTAATAAAAAGAAAGGCAGGACCGAATAGAGTGAAAAATAAAAAGGCAGGACAGAGATTATAACTAAATAAAATGCTCCGCAGGGCGCAGCTTGATACGACCGCAGAGGTCGAACCCTGAACAGTTGGGGGAAGTATGGACACAACATTCAAGCTTGATACAGCTTTGGATTTGGATTGTGATTAAATATTTGACACAGCATAGGTTTCTAACACAGATTGAATGTGGTCTAAGAACTTAAAAATTTTAAATTGGACATTCACCTATTATGGTCCAATATCCAAAATCTAAATACATGGTTAGATTCAGCATATCAAAGAACCCCAAGAATTCAATTTTTGATGAAATCAAACAAAGTTTAATTTTGGACCCTTTTGACCTCAATGTGGACAAAGTAGATAACGGGGCCCAAAAATCAAAAATCTAAATACATGGTTAGATTCAGCATATCAAAGAACCCCATATATTCAATTTTTGTTGAAATCAAACAAAGTTTAATTTTGGACCCCGATTTGGACCAACTTGAAAACTGGGCCCATAATCAAAAATCTAAATACATGTTTAGATTCAGCATATCAAAGAACCCTAAGAATTCAATTTTTGTTAAAATCAAACTAAGTTTAATTTTGGACCCTTTGGACCTTAATGTAGCCTAATTTGAAAACGGAACCAAAAATTAAGAATCTAAATACACGGTTAGATTCGGCATATCAAAGAACCCCAATAATTCAATTTTTGATGAAATCAAACAAAGTTTAATTTTGGACCCTTTTGACCTCAATGTGGACAAAGTTGATAACGGGGCCCAAAAATCAAAAATCTAAATACATGGTTAGATTCAGCATATCAAAGAACCCCATATATTCAATTTTTGTTGAAATCAAACAAAGTTTAATTTTGGACCCCGATTTGGACCAACTTGAAAACTGGGCCCATATTCAAAAATCTAAATACATGTTTAGATTCAGCATATCAAAGAACCCTAAGAATTCAATTTTTGTTAAAATCAAACTAAGTTTAATTTTGGACCCTTTGGACCTTAATGTAGACCAATTTGAAAACGGAACCAAAATTTAAGAATCTAAATACACAGTTAGATTCGGCATATCAAAGAACCCCAATAATTCAATTTTTGATGAAATCAAACAAAGTTTAATTTTGGACCCTTTGGACCTCAATGTGGACCAATTTAAAAACGGGGCCCAAAATCCAAAAACTAAATACACGGTTAGATTCAGCATATTAAAGAACCCCATGAAATCAAGAATAAAACCCCATTGAAATTGGTCAAGAAATAAGCAATTTATAGGAAGTATCTTCTTTTGCACAATCCTGTGCTATTAAATATTTCTTGCTATTGCGCAATACTGTACAATTGACAATTTCTTGCTATTGCGCAATATTGTGCTATTGGATATTTCTTGCTATTGCGCAATACTGTGCAATTGAAGATTTCTTGCTATTGCGCAATACTGTGCAATTGAAGATTTCTTGCTATTGTGCAATACTGTGCAATTGAAAATTTCTTGCTATTGCACAATACTTATTATATAATAATTTACACATCCTGTTTGGTGTGTATCTCCTACCATATCATTATTATTTGATTTTAAATATAAATCAGAAATAACCAACTTAAAATGGAAAATTTTAAAAGAAACAAAAAAGGAAAAAAAGAAAAAAAAGGAAAAAAAAATAAATCCCCCCCCAAAATTTTTTGAACCCCCATTATGATTCATCACCCCCAAACTCAATCCCAGCCTTCCCTTTGTGGTATGGTACCTTGCAGTACAATTTCAGAGAGATCCATACACTTGAACACAAGTTATTGTCTGGAAACTAGAAAAAAATGTGTTTTTTGGCCCCTTTTTGGCCCCAAATTCCTAAACGTTTAGGGCAATTACCCCCAAACTCAAACCCAGCTTTCCCTTTGTGATATGGAACCTTGTAGTACAATTTCAGAAAGATCCATACACTTACACACAAGTTATTGTCATGAAACTAGAAAAATGCTTGTTTTTTGCCCCTTTTTTGGCCCCTAATTCCTAAAATCTGGAGGCAATTACCCCCAAAATCAATCCCAGCATTCCTTTAGTGATATGGAACCTTGTGGTACAATGTCAGAGAGATCCATACACTAACACACAAGTTATGTCTGGAAGTTACAAAAATGCTTATTTTTGGCCCCTTTTTGGCCCCTAATTCCTTTACTGTTATTACCATAACCCCCAAAATCAATCCCAACCTTCCTTTTGTGGTATTGAACCTTGTGGTAAAATTTCATAAAGATCCATTCACTTAAACTAAAGTTAGAGTGCGAAAACCAATGTGTCTTCGGACGACGCCAGACGACGCCGGACGACGACGACGACGACGACGCCGGACGACGACGACGCCAACGTCATACCAATATACGACCACAAAAATTTTTTTGCGGTCGTATAAAAATGTGGATAGTGTCCACATGTGGACACAGATGATGCCCCTGCTTGCATATCATATAGTTATAAAGGGACATAACTGAAGAACGGTAAAAGTGATTCTACCCAAATTTGTACTTGATCTGAGTTTTGTGGTAATAAGTATTTTGTATAAGTTTCATAACATTTGGTTGAGGCAAAGTAAAGTTAGAGAAGGGAAACGAAAAATTCAGCAATTTTTCCATTTGTAAAGGGGCATAAAATTCAGCAATTTTTCCATTTGTAAAGGGGCATAACTCTAGAACAGTAAAAGTGATGCCACCAAAATTCGTACTTAATCTGTGTTTTGTGGTAATAAGCATTGTCTATAAGTTGCATAACATTTGGTTGAGGCAAAGTAAAGTTAGAGAAGGGAAACGAAAAATTCAGCAATTTTTCCATTTGTAAAGGGGCATAAAATTCAGCAATTTTTCCATTTGTAAAGGGGCATAACTCTAGAACAGTAAAAGTGACGCCACCAAAATTCGTTCTTAATCTGTGTTTTGTGGTAATAAGCATTGTGTATAAGTTGCATAACATTTGGTTGAGGCAAACTAAAGTTAGAGAACGGAAACGAAAAAATTCAGCAATTTTTCCATTTGTAAAGGGGCATAACTCTAGAACAGAAAAAGTGACGCCACCCAAATTAATTCCTTGATCTGTGTTTTGTGGTATTAAGCATTGTGTATAAGTTTCATAACATTTGGTTGAGGCAAACTTAAGTTAGAGAACGGAAACCAATTTTGGGACGTACGAACGTACGAAAGGAAGTACGGATGGACGTACGTACAGACGGACAAGGGTAAAACTTAATGCCCCCTCCGCTACGGCGGAGGCATAAAAAAAAAATGCAGGACAAAATTTTTCATCCAAGCCCCGCCATAAAAATCAAATACTAGCTCCCTAAGGACCCAGAATAACAGTCAGTATTGAAAAACTCAATGGTAACATCATACTACTACTACTCTCTGAAGACCTCGCTGATATAAAGTTTGAGAGTGCTGACAAGCAAGGTTCGTTATATAATTTACATTTCAAAGGGACATAATTCCTGTTAAAATAGTTGATAGGCACTGATTTTGGAACTCTTCCAAAATATTACTGATATGAATTTCATAAAATTCTGACAAGAAAAGTAGGCTTAAGTGCTCCTACCATGCAATATCCTAAAGAATTTATATTTCCAAGGGACATCACTCCTGTAAAAGTAATTGATCAGGGCCGACTATTGAACTCATCAAAGACATTGCCAATATAAATCTTGATATAAATTTCATAGCAATCCTACAAAAAAAATTTGTGCTTCGGAGTGCTAACAATGCAATTTTTAATTAAAGAACCTTTGTGAGCATGCTCACATCCCCCAGGCCCCCACATTGCCAATGGGCAAACAAAATATCACCAGATTCCTAAGTTCAAAGACTCATGACCCCTAAAAAAGTCAACAGAAAATAAATTCTTATGGATATGCACATCTTCATCAGGGGCGTAAAATCAAATCTGTTTTTTTTGGACCTTTTTTTTGTTAAAAAACATAAAATAATTGTGAAATGCACTAATGTAACAATATTAGCAGATTACGATAGTTTTTTTTTTTTGTTTTGGAAAAGGGGGGGCGTACGCCCATTACGCCCTCACCTGGACCCGCCCCTATTCATATTATGTCCTCATAAAGTTTCGATGACAAACTGTTGCAGTAGTATATTTAGGCCACAATTCTAGGTTCAAAGGGGCATAACTTCTAAAAAAAAAAATCGAATCATAATTTCCTGTTGATATGCATATCTACATAGTATGTCCTTATTATCTACAAAGTTTCATGAAATTCTGTTGTGTGGTTTCAGAGGAGTCCTTTAAAAATAGTTGATAGTCACAGATTTTCAAACTTGTCTGAGACATTCTGATATAAATCTGATTCAAATTCCATAAAAATCTGGCAAGAATAGCAGACTTACGAGCTCTTACAAGACTGGACAGACAGACTGGTACTTCTATGTCCCCCTTCTCTTAGAATGGGAAGAAATTTATGAAATCATAATTCAATTTCAATTTATGGGCTGAAAACATGGCTAACACCAAGGCTTCCAAAACGGTCATATATTCCGGACATTTGTATAATGTCCGGAAAAAGTCCGGCTGGGAAAAGCATGAAATGGACATCTACTTTTTAGTTTTCAAGGCTTAAGAGACGGTCATTTTAACATAATTCGCGATCTTTTTGACCCAACCTTTTGCCTTTAACAGCCACACATTTCCGGTCATAAAAGTGACATGATCATTAAGTACTATCAAAATAACCCCTACTTTAATACCTTCTCATTTTAATCAAGGCTAATTAGTTGTCGAACATCTGAAATTTACCTGTTCAGGTGACAGGTAAACTATTTTGAGCCGGACATTGATTCGTCTATTCAGTTAACGTTATTTTCTTACATTTCAGCGGTTTGCATCTAATTAATTTAGTTAAAAAGATTTAAATTATCAGAAATACGTTTACAAATATGATTTGATGAAAAATTAAAAAGGTGAAAATGAAAAATGGTCATAACCGACACGTTGTTTGAACCAGAGACATGGCTCTGTTTGAACTGGTACACATGTGCGCACGTGCGCAGGTGTGAAATTTAATTATGCATCCTAATTTCTTAAAAAAATGCTTAAATTGTCATTGATACCTTTATCTCACGTTTATTTCGAATATTTTCTTGAAGAAATAACGTAGAAAGAGCTACTTACACTCATTCATGCTTTGCAAACGTACACGGAATTTACGTATCCGTCTCTGGTCCATGTTTTACCATTGTCAAGATAACATCCGGTTTAGATTGAAAAACCAAAGTAAAGTTTTTGACAACGTTATTTTGCACAAATAAAGAGTCTAAGCAGATATAAGTACGCTGATGTTGCACACTTCGAATGATGCACTGCCAATTTAACAGTTTACGTCAGAACTTCGAATTTGAATCAAAGAAAGTTTAATATCTTTTTTTTTAATGTCAATCATTGGGATGGCCAACACGGCAACTGATTACCATAATTGCCTTTTATTTATTTAGTCTTAAGGGATTAAAATCGGGATAATATATAAAATGTCCGGCTGGCTAAAAATAATTTTGGAAGCCCTGGGCCTAACACATTAGTGATTGTTAAGTAAATATAAAACCAGTCAGCCAAAGTAAAACAGGGTAAAAATCAAAGAAAATCATATCACAGCACTATAAACAAATGTCATACAAGAGGGAGGATTAGCTAGCTATAAAACCAGGTTTAACCTACCATTTTCTTAGGAAAATGCCTGTACCAAGTCAGGAATATGGCAGTTGTTTTTCATTTGTTTTGTTGATTGATAGCCTTTGATTTTGTCAGTTTTTATGGACTTCCCCTTTTTGAATTTTCCTTGGAATTCGGTATTTTTGTTATACTTGTATATTGAACAGATTCTTACCAGAGGATGAAAAGATGGTGCATCAAACGACCATCCTTTGTTGATAAATTTTTCCATTGCTCTCAGTATCTCAGCTTTCTGCTCCTTATTCATACTGGTGAACTCTTTTATCTTGGATTGTATATTCTGTAACAGTAAACAGAAGTCAGCCAGTGGAAATAACCAAGTGGTTTTAATATATCTTCATAATTCTATGGTGGTATAACATATGTACATCATTCTATGGTGATATAACATATGTACATCATTCTATGGTGGTATAACATATGTACATCATTCTATGGTTATATAACATATGTACATCATTCTATGGTGGTATAACATATGTACATCATTCTATGGTGATATAACATATGTACATCATTCTATGGTGATATAACATATGTACATCATTCTATGGTGATATAACATATGTACTTTATTCTATGGTGATATATCATATGTACTTCATTCTATGGTGATATAACATATGTACATCATTCTATGGTGATATATCATATGTACATAATTCTATGGTGATATAACATGTGTACATCATCCTTTGGCAATATAACATATGTACATAATTCTATGGTTATATAACATGTGTACATCATTCTATGGTTATATAACATATGTACATAATTCTATGGTTATATAACATGTGTACATCATTCTATGGTTATATAACATGTGTACATCATTCTATGGTGATATAACATATGTACATCATTCTATGGTTATATAACATATGTACTTCATTCTATGGTGATATAACATATGTACATCATTCTATGGTGATATAACATATGTACATCATTCTATGGTAATATAACATATGTACATCATTCTATGGTGATATAACATATGTACTTCATTCTATGGTGATATATCATATGTACTTCATTCTATGGTGATATAACATGTGTACATCATTCTTTGGCAATATAACATATGTACATAATTCTATGGTTATATAACATGTGTACATCATTCTATGGTTATATAACATATGCACATAATTCTATGGTTATATAACATGTGTACATCATTCTATGGTTATATAACATATGTACATAATTCTATGGTTATATAACATGTGTACATCATTCTATGGTTATATAGAATACCTTCAAAATTCTATGGTCAAATGATGGTATCATAACATATGTACATAATTCTATGGTTATATAACATGTGTACTTCATTCTTTGGTAATATAACATATGCACATAATTCTATGGTAATATAATATATGTACATAATTGTATGGCGATTTAACATATAAACATAAGTCTATGGTTATTTGCTTAACATATGTTCATAATTCTATGTTAATATAGCACATGTTCAAAATTCTATGTTTTTTTAAGGCCAGACTTTTTTTTTATCTGTTTAATGAGAAAATTTGTAAAAAATTAGGGTCGAGGGGACGAAATACAAAAAAAAAATTAAAGTGCAAAGTTGGTCCAGTCGACACTAAAAATAAAACCATTATAAGTGACCTTTTTTTTTTTTTTTTAAGAATTTATCAAAATACAAGAACAATGAAATGAAAACAGACCAGTATATTAACCCTTCTATTGATATGAACATAAAAAATATCTTTTGATTCTGTATGTCCTCTAATTTAGATCCATGCATATGCACCAGGCAAATATATCAACCTCCCTGCATATACACTATATATATGTATATTACCAGTCAGGAACCTCTTAGTGTATGTTACATGTTTATACTGTATATACAATTCAATTAAAAAAAACTACTCTGTTATCATGTTCATGAAGTTAATTATTTTTCATTAAAAAGACATATTCATTTAACCGTTAAGCTTGGAAATAATATAATTATTTTATATTAGTGTAATAGACATGGTTGAGCAACATTAACTTATAAATTGAAGCAATGCATTAATAAAATGCTCCGCAGGGCGCAGCTTGATACGACCGCAGAGGTCGAACCCTGAACAGTTGGGGCAAGTATGGACACAACATTCAAGCTTGATACAGCTCTGAATTTGGATTGTGATTAAATATTTGACACAGCATAGGTTTCTGACACAGAATGAATGTGGTCTAAGAACTTAAAAATTTTAAATTGGACATTCACCTATTATGGTCCAATATCCAAAATCTAAATACATGGTTAGATTCAGCATATCAAAGAACCCCAAGAATTCAATTTTTGATGAAATCAAACAAAGTTTAATTTTGGACCCCGATTTGGACCAACTTGAAAACTGGGCCCATAATCAAAAATCTAAATACATGTTTAGATTCAGCATATCAAAGAACCCTAAAAATTCAATTTTTGTTAAAATCAAACTAAGTTTAATTTTGGACCCTTTGGACCTTAATGTAGACCAATTTGAAAACGGAACCAAAAATTAAGAATTTAAATACACGGTTAGATTCGGCATATCAAAGAACCCCAATAATTCAATTTTTGATGAAATTAAACAAAGTTAAATTTTGGACCCTTTTGACCTCAATGTGGACAAAGTTGATAACGGGGCCCAAAAATCAAAAATCTAAATACATGGTTAGATTCAGCATATCAAAGAACCCCATATATTCAATTTTTGTTGAAATCAAACAAAGTTTAATTTTGGACTCGATTTGGACCAACTTGAAAACTGGGCCCATAATCAAAAATCTAAATACATGTTTAGATTCAGCATATCAAAGAACCCTAAAAATTCAATTTTTGTTAAAATCAAACTAAGTTTAATTTTGGACCCTTTGGACCTTAATGTAGACCAATTTGAAAACGGAACCAAAAATTAAGAATCTAAATACACGGTTAGATTCAGCATATCAAAGAACCCCAATAATTCAATTTTTGATGAAATCAAACAAAGTTAAATTTTGGACCCTTTGGACCTCAATGTGGACCAATTTAAAAACGGGGCCCAAAATCCAAAAACTTAATACATGGTTAGATTCAGCATATTAAAGAACCCCAAGAATTCAAGAATAAAACCCCATTGAAATTGATCAAGAAATAAGCAATTTATACGAAGTATCTTCTTTTGCACAATACTGTGCAATTGAATATTTCTTGCTATTGCGCAATACTGTACAATTGACAATTTCTTGCTATTGCGCAATATTGTGCTATTGGATATTTCTTGCTATTGCGCAATACTGTGCAATTGAAGATTTCTTGCTATTGCGCAATACTGTGCAATTGAAGATTTCTTGCTATTGTGCAATACTGTGCAATTGAAAATTTCTTGCTATTGCACAATACTTATTAGATAATAATTTACACATCCTGTTTGGTGTGTATCTCCTACCATATCATTATTATTTGCTTTTAAATATTAATCAGAAATAACCAACTTAAAATGGAAAATTTTAAAAGAAAAAAAAAAGGAAAAAAAGAAAAAAAAAACAGAAAAAAAAAAAAAATCCCCCCCCAAATTTTTTGAACCCCCTTATGATTCATCACCCCCAAACTCAATCCCAGCCTTCCCTTTGTGGTATGGTACCTTGCAGTACAATTTCAGAGAGATCCATACACTTGAACACAAGTTATTGTCTGGAAACTAGAAAAATGCTTATTTTTGGCCCATTTTTGGCCCCCAATTCCTAAACGTTTCGGGCAATTATCCCCAAACTCAATTCCAGCTTTCCCTTTGTGATATGGAACCTTGTAGTACAATTTCAGAAATATCCAAACACTAACACACAAGTTATTGTCATGAAACTAAAAAAATGCTTGTTTTTGGCCCCTTTTTTGGCCCCTAATTCCTAAAATTTTGAGGCAATTACCCCCAAAATCAATTACAGCCTTTCCTTTGTGATATGGAACCTTGTGGTACAATGTCAGAGAGATCCATACACTTACACACAAGTTATTGTCTGGAAGTTACAAAATGCTTATTTTTGGCCCCTTTTTGGCCCCTAATTCCTTAACTGTTAGTACCATAACCCCCAAAATCAATCCCAACCTTCCTTTCGTGGTATTGAACCTTATGGTAAAATTTCATGGAGATCCATTCACTTAAACTAAAGTTAGAGTGCGAAAACCAATGTGTCTTCGGACGACGCCGGACGACGCCAGACGACAACGACGACGACGACGACGACGACGCCGGACGACGACGACGCCAACGTCATACCAATATACGACCAAAAAATTTTTAATTTTTACGGTCGTATAAAAAGGAAATATAAACATTAATAAAAAATATCTAACCAAAAGAACGTTAATGCGTGTGGAATGCGTAATTTTTCCTTTTGGGATCAATTTTTGTCTGTCAGCAGTGCCATTCATGCGTCCGTAGTCATTATCGCAAGAATCCGGATTTCGGTCATAGCAGGTCCGCTTCCGATGAAATCCCGACTCCGATCCGTAGTTTTTCAAAAACATACCCAATAATTTAAATGTCGGAGAAAACTTTACAAAAATAAACGATGTTTGAAATGCTTTTTGGAAAGGAATATGACGTTTTTAATGCAATACATGGATTACAAATTTACTTCAGGCTAATTTCATCAAGTTCAAATGAAGTAATAAATTATTTAGCCGAAAGTTAGAATGATTTGATGTACTCTCTCGTGTAACAAGTACCGGCGAAAGTGGTTTTAAACAAATTGTTTTTATGAAAAAAACATGCCACCAGCTTAAATAAAATGCTCCGCAGGGCGCAGCTTGATACGACCGCAGAGGTCGAACCCTGAACAGTTGGGGCAAGTATGGACACAACATTCAAGCTTGATACAGCTCTGAATTTGGATTGTGATTAAATATTTGACACAGCATAGGTTTCTGACACAGAATGAATGTGGTCTAAGAACTAAAAAATTTTGGACATTCACCTATTATGGTCCAATATCCAAAATCTAAATACATGTTTAGATTCAGCATATCAAAGAACCCCAAGAATTCAATTTTTGATGAAATCAAACAAAGTTTAATTTTGGACCTTTTTGACCTCAATGTGGACAAAGTTGATAATGGGGCCCAAAAATCAAAAATCTAAATACATGGTTAGATTCAGCATATCAAAGAACCCCATATATTCAATTTTTGTTGAAATCAAACAAGGTTTAATTTTGGACCCTGATTTGGACCAACTTGAAAACTGGGCCCATAATCAAAAATCTAAATACATGTTTAGATTCAGCATATCAAAGAACCCTAAGAATTCAATTTTTGTTAAAATCAAACTAAGTTTAATTTTGGACCCTTTGGACCTTAATGTAGACCAATTTGAAAACGGAACCAAAAATTAAGAATCTAAATACACGGTTAGATTCGGCATATCAAAGAACCCCAATAATTCAATTTTTGATGAAATCAAACAAAGTTTAATTTTGGACCCTTTGGACCTCAATGTGGACCAATTTAAAAACGGGGCCCAAAATCCAAAAACTAAATACACGGTTAGATTCAGCATATTAAAGAAACCCAAGAATTCAAGAATAAAACCCCATTGAAATTGGTCAAGAAATAAGCAATTTATACGAAGTATCTTCTTTTGCACAATACTGTGCAATTAAATATTTCTTGCTATTGCGCAATACTGTACAATTGACAATTTCTTGCTATTGCGCAATATTGTGCTATTGGATATTTCTTGCTATTGCGCAATACTGTGCAATTGAAGATTTCTTGCTATTGCGCAATACTGTGCAATTGAAGATTTCTTGCTATTGTGCAATACTGTGCAATTGAAAATTTCTTGCTATTGCACAATACTTATTAAATAATAATTTACACATCCTGTTTGGTGTGTATCTCCTACCATATCATTATTATTTGATTTTAAATATAAATCAGAAATAACCAACTTAAAATGGAAAATTTTAAAAGAAAAAAAAAAGGAAAAAAAGAAAAAAAAGGAAAAAAAAAAAAAAAATCCCCCCCTCAATTTTTTGAACCCCCTTATGATTCATCAACCCCAAACTCAATCCCAGCCTTCCCTTTGTGGTATGGTACCTTGCAGTACAATTTCAGAGAGATCCATACACTTGAACACAAGTTATTGTCTGGAAACTAGAAAAATGTGTTTTTTGGCCCCTTTTTGGCCCCCAATTCCTAAACGTTTCGGGCAATTACCCCCAAACTCAATTCCAGCTTTCCCTTTGTGATATGGAATCTTGTAGTACAATTTCAGAAATATCCAAACACTTACACACAAGTTATTGTCATGAAACTAGAAAAATGCTTGTTTTTTGCCCCTTTTTTGGCCCCTAATTCCTAAAATTTTGAGGCAATTACCCCCAAAATCAATCCCAGCATTCCCTGTGTGATATGGAACCTTGTGGTACAATTTCAGAGAGATCCATACACTTGAACACAAGTTATTGTCTGGAAACTAGAAAAATGCTTATTTTTTGCCCCTTTTTGGCCCCTTATTCCTAAACGTTTCAGGCAATTACCCCCAAACTCAATCACAGCCTTCCCTTTGTGATATGGAACCTTGTAGTACAATTTCAGAAAGATCCATACACTTACACACAAGTTATTGTCATGAAACTAGAAAAATGCTTGTTTTTTGCCCCTTTTTTGGCCCCTAATTCCTAATATTTTGAGGCAATTACCCCGAAAATCAATCCCAGCATTCCCTTTGTGATATGGAACCTTGTGGTACAATGTCAGAGAGATCCATACACTAACACACAAGTTATGTCTGGAAGTTACAAAAATGCTTATTTTTGGCCCCTTTTTGGCCCCTAATTCCTTAACTGTTGGTACCATAACCCCCAAAATCAATCCCAACCTTCCTTTTGTGGTATTGAACCTCATGGTAAAATTTCATAGAGATCCATTCACTTAAACTAAAGTTAGAGTGCGAAAACCAATGTGTCTTCGGACAACGACGACGACAACGTCATACCAATATACGACCGCAATCGTATAAAAATCAATGCTTTAACCTCTTTTTGAAATCATAAATCATTTATGCCTTTAATTTCTTTACTTTGAAATTGCTGTTTCATCGACTTGGTAAAATTAAATATTACCGATGACGAAAGCGGGTATCGTAAACCACAGATTTTAGTTTTGTTCTGAGGATTTTGTAGCAGTCGGCAGGAAAAATAAAAATAAAAAGTAAAAAGCACTTCTTTTATTTTTTTTCTGAAATCAGGAAATTGGAGTCGGTGGATCTCGTTAAACAGATAATAAAAAAAGTCTGGCCTAACATATATAGATATCTATCCTGAAGTCTACCTTTCTACTATACAAATACAGGTGTACATATAACACGAAGCTTTTAGTACCTGAGAAATGGGCAAGACAACAAACCTTAACATTCATTAATGAACCATGAAAATTAGGTTAATGTCAGATGAAACCTGTCAGACTGAAAAGTACACCTTAAGTCCTTACAATCATTCTATACATCAAATATAGCTGACCAATTGCTTATAATATCTGAACAAGAGCAATTGCAGGTCTGACATGCAATTGATTGAGGTAACATGTATACTGAATCATAACTTATCATTTTCTTTCTTTGAATTCAAGAAAACTTTGATGACAAAGTTTCCTAGTACAATGAGTGTTGTAAAATTTCAAACTATCCGAACACAGGAAATGGTTGCACAGCATAATATGATGTGATGAAAAATAACCTGCAAAAATTGAAACTTTTAAAAGTCAAAGGTCAAATGATAATACCTCACATCGAAACCACCTAAGTCGATGGTAAACATTGATTTTAGTTTTTTGTCCATCTGCTCCTGTCCACATCAGATGACAAAGGTTTGGGTTACTGGTAAAATCATCTGGTATCGTTCCCACACATCCATACATGTTGGTATGAATCAGGTGAACAATTTCACCAAAAGGCCCTCTGTAGACTTCAGTCATGGTTGGTACGATTGATGTTGTACCTGCAAGTAAAATAAATCTTGAACTGTATACAGTATTACTCTATCATGGTCAGTAGGATTGATGTTGTAAGTAAATTAAATCTTGAACTGTATACAGTATTACTCTATCATGGTCAGTAGGATTGATGTTATAAGTAAATTAAATCTTGAACTGTATACAGTATAACTCTATCATGGTCAGTAGGATTGATGTTGTACCTGCAAATAAATTAAATCTTGAACTGTATACAGTATTACTCTATCATGGTCAGTAGGAATGATGTTGTACCTGTAAGTAAATTAAATCCTGAACTGTATACAGTATACCTCTATCATGGTCAGTAGGAATGATGTTGTACCTGTAAGTAAATTAAATCATGAACTATATACAGTTTACCTCTATCATGGTCAGTAGGAATGATGTTGTACCTGAAAGTAAATTAAATCTTGAACTGCATACAGTATTACTTGATCATGGTCAGTAGGAATGATATTGTACCTGCAAGTAAACTAAATCTTGAACTCTATACAGTATACTTGCAAGTTATGGAATCTTGTCCTTTTATCTGCCAACAAATGAAATCTTAAACTGTCTATTTCAAACATTTTATCTCCTGAAAACTTCCATATTTATCTTAATAAGCCCTGAGATTAATTACTTTGAAATTACAATTACAATTAAAAACCAATAATAGTTCAGAGACCAATTAAAGGTTTTTCTGCTACAAATTCACATTTGTTGATGATTTAAGTTGAAATGAACTTGAATAAAGTTTTAATAAAAGAACAGAGTTCCAATGTCCCCCATGTTGCACATATTTTATCTGTTCTGTCCAAGGGCAATACTGGGAACTATAAAATTTTTTTTTTTTTTTTTTTAAACTTTTTAAAATTATCTTACTAGAGAGTTGAAGACTTGAGAGCAATTTCTGATATATTTAATATTTCCAAGGTAAACTCATTTAAAATATTTGATCGGCAGTTTTTGAAATTGTCTGAGACATTGCTGTTATATACCGTTGATGAAAATCTGGCAAAAATTGTTCATGTGAGAGCACTTACAATGCAATTTTCCATATGAACAATGTTTCCAAGGAGCATAACTCTTTTAATAATAATTGATCGTCACTGATTTTCGAACTTGTTAAAGACATTGCTGATATAAACCTATGATATAAGTTTCATAAAAATCTAACAAGAACTGTACAAATGAGAGCACTAACAATGCAATTTTCCATATAATTAATGTTTCCAAGGGGTATAACTCTTTTAAAAAAAATTGATCTGCACTGATTTTCAAACTCGTCACAGACATCACTGATATAAACCAATAATATAAGTCATAAAAATCTAGCAAAACACGCTGCACGGGGAACAAACAAGAGGCTCTCAAGAGCCTGAATCGCTCAACTGTATTTCAGAGGAGAAGATTTTTAAATGTTAGCAAACTTGATGAACAAATTGTGTAAAATTGTATTTAAAGGGCAATAACTCCTTAAGGGGTCAATTGACAATTTTGGTCATATTAACTTTTTTGTAGATCTTACTTTGCTGAACATTATTGCTGCTTACAGTTTACATATATCTATAGTAATATTCAAAATAATAACAAATAAAATGCTTCGCTATGCGCAGCTTGATACGTCCGCAGAGGTCGAACCCTGAACATTTGGGGCAAGTATTGACACAACATTCAAGCTTGATACAGCTCTGAATTTGGATTGTGATTAAATACTTGACACAGCATAGGTTTCTGACACAGAAAGAATGTGGTCTAAGAACTTGAATTTTTTTAATTTACCTATTATGGTCCAATGTCCAAAATCAAAATAAAATGGTTAGATTCAGCATATCAAAGAACCCCATATATTCAATTTTTGTTGAAATCAAACAAATTTTAATTTTGGACCCCAACTTGGACCAACTTGAAAACTGGGCCCATAATCAAAAATCTTAACACATGTTTAGATTCAGCATATCAAAGAACCCCAAGAATTAAATTTTTGTTAAAATCAAACTAAGTTTAATTTTGGACCCTTTGGACCTTAATGTAGACCAATTTAAAAAACGTGAAACCCAAAATTAAAAATCTAAATACACTGTCAGATTTGGCATATCAAAGAACCCCAATAATTCAATTTTTGATGATTTCAAACGAAGTTTAATTTTGGACCCTTTTGACCTCAATATGAACTAATTTGATAGCGGGGTCCACAAATAAAAAATCTAAATACATGGTTAGATTCAGCATATCAAAGAACCCCATATATTCAATTTTTGTTGAAATCAAACAAAGTTTTATTTTGGACCCCAACTTGGACAAGCTTGAAAACTGGGCCCATAATAAAAAATCTCAATACATGTTTAGATTCAGCATATCAAAGAACCCCAAGAATTAAATTTTTGTTAAAATCAAACTAAGTTTAATTTTGGACCCTTTGGACCTTAATGTAGACCAATTTAAAAAACGGGACCCAAAATTAATAAAATGCTCCGCTGGGGCGCAGCTTGATATGACCGCAGAGGTCGAACCCTGAACAGTTGGGGCAAGTATGTACACAACATTCAAGCTTGATACAGCACTGAATTTTGATTGTAATTAAATATTTGACACAGCATAGGTTTCTCACACAGAATGAAAGTGGTCTAAGAACTTAAAAATTTTTAATTTACCTATTCAAACCATATCATAATTATTTGCTTTTATATATAAATCAGAAATAACCAATTTAAAATGGAAAATTTTAAAGAAAAAAAAGGGAAACCCCCCCCCCCCCCAATTTTTTGAATCCCCCTTATGATTCATCACCCCCAAACTCAATCCCAGCTTTCCCTTTGTGATATGGAACCTTGCAGTACAATTTCATAAAGATCCATACACTTACACACAAGTTATTGTCCTGAAACTAGAAAAATGCTTGTTTTTTTGCCCTTTTATGGCCCCTAATTACTAAAATTTTGAGGGAATGACCCCAAAACTCAATCACAGCCTTCCCTTTGTGGTATGGTACCTTGCAGTGCAATTTCAGAGAGATCCATACATTTGAACACAAGTTATTGTCTGGAAACTAGAAAAATGCTTATTTTTGGCCCCTTTTTGGCCCCTTATTCCTAAAATTTTTGGGCAATTACCCCCAAACTCAATTCCAGTTTTCCCTTTGTGATATAAAACCTTGTAGTACAATTTCATAAAGATCCATACACTTACACACAAGTTATTGTCATGAAACTAGAAAAATGCTTGTTTTTTGCCCCTTTTTGGCCCCTAATTCCAAAAATTTGGAGGCAATTACCCCCAAAATGAATCCCAGCATTCCCTTTGTGATATGGAACCTTGCAGTACAATTTCATAAAGATCCATACACTTACACACAAGTTATTGTCCTGAAACTAGAAAAATGCTTGTTTTTTTGCCCTTTTATGGCCCCCTAATTACTAAAATTTTGAGGGAATGACCCCAAAACTCAATCACAGCCTTCCCTTTGTGGTATGGTACCTTGCAGTGCAATTTCAGAGAGATCCATACATTTGAACACAAGTTATTGTCTGGAAACTAGAAAAATGCTTATTTTTGGCCCCTTTTTGGCCCCTTATTCCTAAACTTTTTGGGCAATTACCCCCAAACTCAATTCCAGTTTTCCCTTTGTGATATGGAACCTTGTAGTACAATTTCATAAAGATCCATACACTTACACACAAGTTATTGTCATGAAACTAGAAAAATGCTTGTTTTTTTACCCTTTTTGGCCCCTAAGTCCTAAAATTTGGAGGCAATTACCCCCAAAATCAATCCCAGCATTCCCTTTGTGATATGGAACCTTGTAGTACTGTAGTACAATTTCATAAAGATCCATACACTTACACACAAGTTATTGTCATGAAACTAGAAAACGCTTGTTTTTTTCCTCTTTTTGGCCCCTAATTCCTAAAATTTGGAGGCAATTCCCCCCAAAATCATTACCAGCATTCCCTTTGTGATATGGAACCTTGTGATACAATGTCAGAGAGATCCATACATTTACACACAAGTTATGTCTGCAAGTTACAAAAATGCTTATTTTTTGCCCCTTTTTGGCCCCTAATTCCTTAACTGTAGGTACCATAACCCCCAAAATCAATCCCCACCTTCCTTTTGTGGTATTGAACCTTATGGTAAAATTTCATTGAGATCCATTTACTTAAACTAAAGTTAGAGTGCGAAAACTAATGTGTCTTCGGACGACGACGATGACGCCAACGTCATACCAATATACGACCACAAAAATTTTTTTGCGGTCGTATAAAAATCTAAAAACACAGTTAGATTTGGCATATCAAAGAACCCAAGAATTCAATTTTTGATGAAATCAAACAAAGTTTAATTTTGGACCCTTTTGACCTCAATATGAAACAATTTGATAGCGGGATCCACAAATAAAAAATCTAAATACATGGTTAAATTCAGCATATCAAAGAACCCAATATATTCAATTTTTGTTGAAATCAAACAAAGTTTAATTTTGGACCCCAATTTGGAACAACTTGAAAACTGGGCCAAAAATCTAAAATCTAAATACATGTTTAGATTCAGCATATCAAAGAACCCCATATATTCAATTTTTGTTGAAATCAAACAAAGTTTAATTTTGGACCCCCACTTGGACCAACTTGAAAACTGGGCCCATAATCAAAAATCTTAACACATGTTTAGATTCAGCATATCAAAGAACCCCAAGAATTCAATTTTTGTTAAAATCAAACTAAGTTTCATTTTGGACCCTTTGGACCTTAATGTAGACCAATTTAAAAAACGTGAAACCCAAAATTAAAAATCTAAATACACGGTTAGATTTGGCATATCAAAGAATCCCAATAATTCAATTTTTGATGAAATCAAACGAAGTTTAATTTTGGACCCTTTTGACCTCAATATGAACCAATTTGATAGCATGGTCCACAAATAAAAAATCTAAATACACGGTTAGATTCAGCATATCAAAGAACCCCATATATTCAATTTTTGTTGAAATCAAACAAAGTTTAATTTTGGACCCCAATTTGGACCAACTTGAAAACTGGGCCAAAAATCAAAAATCTAAATACATGTTTAGATTCAGCATATCAAAGAACCCCATATAGTCAATTTTTGTTAAAATCAAACAAAGTTTAATTTTGGACCCTTTGGGCCTTAATGTAGACCAATTTGAAAACTGGACCCAAAATTACAAATCTAAATACACGGTTAGATTTGGCATAACAAATAAATAAATGTGATCAAAGATTTTACAAATCTCATGCGCCATACTGTGCAATTAAAGATTAGTTGTTGAAATTTTTCAATATTTGAAATTTGAAAAAAAAAATTTTTGAAGAATAATTCTGTTAATTTCTGAAATCTGAAATGAGAAAAAATTGACCCCCCACAATTTCTTTTTACCCCCCCCCCCCCCCCCCCCTTTTTTCCCCCAAAAAGTTCTTTCCTTCAAGATATGGTCATAATCTCAATTCAAATTTCCAATGGAGTTTGCAACCATAATTACCCATTTAAATTTACCATAGTGCTAACTTAATCTATTTTATAATAGAATTTAAAATATAGTGTCAAATCTTTCATATGGATTTTTTTATAAAAAAAAAAAAGATGCAACATTTGCAGATATTTTACTGGTCTTCCTTTATAAATATGCATTTCTTTAAACATAATTTAAAAGCAGTGTAAGGGAAGTAACCAAAACGTTGTATTTGGATTACCTCCCTTACACTGTTTTAAATTATATTAATTGTTCATTAACCATACTTTATACATAATTTAAAAGAAGTGTAAGGGAGGTAATTTCAATGATGTATTTGATTTATCTCCCTTACACTGCTTTAAATTATGTTTTGTACTAAAGTATTTGTCCATTAACCAGGACAACCTTGTTTTTTCCCCCTTTTTGCCCCTAATTCCTAAACGGTTTGAGCCATAACCCCCCAAAGCAAATCCTAACCATCCCTTTGTGGTATGGAAACTTGTAGTATAATTTCAGAGAGATCCATACACCGTTCCACAGTTATTGTCTGGAAACTAGAAAATGCTTATTTTTGGCCCCTTTTTGGCCCATAATTCCTTAACTGTTGGTACCATAACCCCCAAAATCAATCCCAACCTTCCTTTTGTGGTATTTAACCTTATGGTAAAATTTCAAAGAGATCCATTCACTGAAACTAAAGTTAGAGTGCGAAAACCAATGTGTCTTTTTTTGCGGTTGTATAAAAACTGCAAAATTTTGTTAAAACTACCAATTTGGTGGCAGCAACCCAACAATGGGTTATTCGATTCGTCTGATAATTTCAGGGCTGATACATCTTGACCAATTAAACAATTTTACCCCATGTCACATTTGCTCTAAAAGATTTAGTTTTTGAGATATAAGCCAAAAACTGCATTTGACCCTTATGTTCTATTTTTAGCCATGGCGGCAATGTTTGTCAATGGATAGAAACTTTGGATATAATTTATAAACAAGATACCCTAAGGAACATTTATTTAAGTTTGAAGGTAATTGGCCCAGTAGTTTCAGAGGAGAAGATTTTTAAATGTTAGCAAACTTGAACAAATTGTGTAAAATTGTCTTTAAAGGGCAATAACTCCTTAAGGGGTCAATTGACAATTATGGTCATATTAACTTTTTTGTAGATCTTACTTTGCTGAACATTATTGCTGCTTACAGTTTATATATATCTACAATAATATTCAAAATAATAACAAAAAAATGCAAAATTTTTTAAAACTATCAATTCGGTGGCAGCAACCCAACAATGGGTTGTTCGATTCGTCTAAAAATTTCAGAGCTGATAGATGTTGACCAATTGAACAATTTTACCCCATGTCAGATTTGACTTCGGATACAATTTATAAACTAGATACCCTAAGAAACATTTAGTTAAAGTTTGAAGGTATTTAGCCCAGTAGTTTCAGAGGAGAAGATTTTTTATATAGTTTACGATAACAGACGACAGACGACGACGACGGACGCCAAGTGATGGCATAAGCTCACATGGGGCCCTTTTGGCCCCGGTGAGCTAAAAAGTGTATTTTTCATAAAAAAAATGTAACTTGTGGTTCAAGAGTCAGGTATAAGGAGAAATCTTAGCCTACACTAAGTTCAAATATATATAGGTAATTGAATCTCTCTTTGAATAAGGTAGATAATCAACTACTGATTTAATCAAATGATTATAAAACTCACTTAACACTGTTTAAAATAAATGTGGATAGTGTCCACATGTGGACACAGATGATGCCCTCGCTTGCATATCATATAGTTATAAAGGGACATAACTGAAGAACAGTAAAAGTGACGCTACCCAAATTTGAACTTGATCTGAGTTTTGTGTGTAAGTCTCATAACATTTGGTTGAGGCTAACTTAAGTAGAGAACAGAAACTAAAAATTCAGCAATTTTTCTATTTATAAAGGGGCATAACTCAATAATGGTTAAAGTGACACTACCCAAATTCAACTTGATCTGTATTTTATCAGTGGAAGTCAAAATTAAACATTGCATTGTATAAAGCATTCATTGTAGTTGATTCAACTATAATCATGGACAAAGGAAAATAACTCCAATTTTAAAAATAACTTGATATTTAGAAGAAAATAAAAATTTTGCAATTTTTTCCATTTATAAAGGGGCATAACTCTAGAACAGTTAAAGTGACGCCACCAAAATTCAAACTTGATCTGTGTTTTGTGGTAATAAGCATTGTGTATAAGTTTCATAACATTTGGTTGAAGCAAACTTAAGTTAGAGAACAGAAACTAAAAATTTAGCAATTTTTCCATTTATAAAGGGGCATAACTCTAGAACGGTTAAAGTAACGCCACCAAAATTCATACTTGATCTGTGTTTTGTGGTAATAAGCCTTGTGTATAAGTTTCATAACATTTGGTTGAGGCAAACTTAAGTTAGAGGACGGAAACTAAAAATTTTGCAATTTTTCCATTTATAAAGGGGCATAACTCTAGAACGGTTAAAGTGACGCCACCAAAATTCATACTTGATCTGTGTTTTGTAGGTAATAAGCCTTGTGTATAAGTTTCATAACATTTGGTTGAGGCAAACCTAAGTTAGAGAACGGAAACTAAAAATTTTGCAATTTTTCCATTTATAAAGGGGCATAACTCTAGAACGGTTAAAGTGACGCCACCAAAATTCAAACTTGATCTGTGTTTTGTGAAAATAAGCATTGTGTATAAGTTTTATAACATTTGGTTGAGGCAAACTCAAGTTAGAGAACGGAAACCAATTTTGGACGTACAGACGGACGTACAAATGTACATACGTACGTACAGACGGACAAGGGTAAAACTTAATGCCCCCACCGCTACGACGGGGGCATAAAAATATATGGATTTATGACATTTTGCTTGAAATATGGGAGATAAGTTGCTACTTTTGGTTTACGCAATGTTACTCTCAGTGCCTTATTGATTTACTTTATGATGATTCCAAGAATATATGCTTTCTATGTATTTTTGCATGAAATAAGTGCATGAACTTTTGACAAAGAGATTTGTGCATCTACATACCAAATATCATTGACCTACCACTAGTGGTTTCCTTTCAACTGACCTAATCACAAACTAATACATGTAAACTATGAAAAGTTTCAAAGTAAATAGATCATGACTGAGGTAGTGGTGTCAAACAAGCCCCATGGAAATGAACTGTGCCAATGCTTATACAACTGCATACCAAATACCACTAGTGGTAGCGGTGTCAAACAAGCCCCATGGACATGAACTGTGCCAATGCTTATACAACTGCATACCAAATACCACTAGTGGTAGCGGTGTCAAACAAGCCCCATGGACATGAACTGTGCCAATGCTTATACAACTGCATACCAAATACCACTAGTGGTAGCGGTGTCAAACAAGCCCCATGGACATGAACTGTGCCAATGCTTATACAACTGCATACCAAATACCACTAGTGGTAGCGGTGTCAAACAAGCCCCATGGACATGAACTGTGCCAATGCTTATACAACTGCATACCAAATACCACTAGTGGTAGCGGTGTCAAACAAGCCCCATGGACATGAACTGTGCCAATGCTTATACAACTGCATACCAAATACCACTAGTGGTAGCGGTGTCAAACAAGCCCCATGGACATGAACTGTGCCAATGCTTATACAACTGCATACCAAATACCACTAGTGGTAGCGGTGTCAAACAAGCCCCATGGACATGAACTGTGCCAATGCTTATACAACTGCATACCAAATACCACTAGTGGTAGCGGTGTCAAACAAGCCCCATGGACATGAACTGTGCCAATGCTTATACAACTGCATACCAAATACCACTAGTGGTAGCGGTGTCAAACAAGCCCCATGGACATGAACTGTGCCAATGCTTATACAACTGCATACCAAATACCACTAGTGGTAGCGGTGTCAAACAAGCCCCATGGACATGAACTGTGCCAATGCTTATACAACTGCATACCAAATACCACTAGTGGTAGCGGTGTCAAACAAGCCCCATGGACATGAACTGTGCCAATGCTTATACAACTGCATACCAAATACCACTAGTGGTAGCGGTGTCAAACAAGCCCCATGGACATGAACTGTGCCAATGCTTATACAACTGCATACCAAATACCACTAGTGGTAGCGGTGTCAAACAAGCCCCATGGACATGAACTGTGCCAATGCTTATACAACTGCATACCAAATACCACTAGTGGTAGCGGTGTCAAACTGACCTAATCACAAACTAATACATTGTTGACGCCACTGCCGCACGCCGCCACTCGAAACAGCATACCTACCGGTAAGTCTCGTTTTTTGACTCTGTCTTTTAACTTTATCATATCTATATATATATAACACATATCTAACCTTGTATTAACCGAGTATCATTATAACACATATCAAACGTCTGGTATCCTCTCCAAGCTTCTGTTGAGGATGGAATTTTAGTCAGATGTATATTTCTACAAAATAAAAAAACATTTTAACCAAATACATAATAAATCACACATTTGTTCTCTCTGTATAACATCTTACCAATTTTTAAAGGTAAATGGTACCTAAACATAAATTATGCAAAAGATTCAAAGTCTATGAACCATGATGAGGGGGCATGGTCATAATATTCCTAAACAGTTAGGACAATAACCCCCTAAATGAATCCCATCCTAGTGCTTTACACTAGAAATAGTTAAAGACTTTTGTTGGCTTCAAGTTATTCAGGTATTTGTTAAACAGGAAAGAAACATGTGTTTATTTATTTTTTTTTAATGATGTCTCATACAGTCATGCATGGCTTTACAGCTATGACAAGCTTAAATAAAATGCTCCGCAGGGCACAGCTTGATACGACCGTAGAGGTCGAACCCTGTTGGGGCAAGTATGGACACAACATTAAAGCTTGATACAGCTCTGAATTTGGATTGTGATTAAATATTTGACACAGCATAGGTTTCTGACACAGAATGAATGTGGTCTAAGAACTTAAAAATTTTAAATTGGACATTCACCTATTATGGTCAAATATCCAAAATCTAAATACATGGTTAAATTCAGCATATCAAAGAACCCCAAGAATTCAATTTTTGATGAAATCAAACAAAGTTTAATTTTGGACCCTTTTGACCTCAATGTGGACAAAGTTGATAACAGGGCCCAAAAATCAAAAATCTAAATACATGGTTAGATTCAGCATATCAAAGAACCCCAAATATTCAATTTTTGTTGAAATCAAACAAAGTTTAATTTTGGGACCCCAATTTGGACCAACTTGAAAACTGGGCCCATAATCAAAAATCTAAATACATGTTTAGATTCAGCATATCAAAGAACCCTAAGAATTCAATTTTTGTTAAAATCAAACTTAGTTTTATTTTGGACCCTTTGGACCTTAATGTAGACCAATTTGAAAACGGAACCAAAAATTAAGAATCTAAATACACGGTTAGATTCGGCATATCAAAGAATCCCAATAATTCAATTTTTGATGAAATCAAACAAAGTTTAATTTTGGACCCTTTGGACCGCAATGTGGACCAATTTAAAAACGGGGCCCAAAATCCAAAAACTTAATACACGGTTAGATTCAGCATATTAAAGAACCCCAAGAATTCAAGAATAAAACCCCATTGAAATTGGTCAAGAAATAAGCAATTTATACGAAGTATCTTCTTTTGCACAATACTGCACAATTGACAATTTCTTGCTATTGTGCAATACTGTGCTATTGAAGATTTCTTGCTATTGCGCAATACTGTGCAATTGAAGATTTCTTGCTATTGTGCAATACTGTGCAATTGAAAATTTCTTGCTATTGCACAATACTTATTATATGATAATTTACACATCCTGTTTGGTGTGTATCTCCTACCATATCATTATTATTTGCTTTTAAATATAAATCAGAAATAACCAACTTAAAATGGAAATTTTTAAAAGAAAAAAAAAAGGAAAAAAAAGAAAAAAAAGGAAAAAAAGAAAAAAAAGGAAAAAAAAAAAAAATCCCCCCCCCCCCCAAATTTTTAGAATCCCCTTATGATTCATCACCCCCAAACTCAATCCCAGCCTTCCCTTTGTGGTATGGTACCTTGCAGTACAATTTCAGAGAGATCCATACACTTGAACACAAGTTATTGTCTGGAAACTAGAATAAAATGCTCCGCTGGGGCGCAGCTTGATACGACCGCAGAGGTCGAACCCTGAACAGTTGGGGCAAGTATGGACACAACATTCAAGCTTGATACAGCACTGAATTTGGATTGTAATTAAATATTTGACACAGCATAGGTTTCTCACACAGAATGAAAGTGGTCTAAGAACTTAAAAATTTTTAATTTACCTATTCAAATCATATCATTATTATTTGCTTTTATATATAAATCAGAAATAACCAATTTAAAATGGAAAATTTTAAAGAAAAAAACATACATGTGATGGACTGTGAAACTCAGATCAGGAGATTGGGAAATTTTGGTCAGGAGATTAGGACTCAGATCAGGAGGTTTTTAATCGACATAAATTTTGTCGTAAATGTAACTGTGTGCTGTAAAAATTGTCTTTTAAAGTGTGTTTTCTTCAACTTTCAATCCGAATGTATTATGTATTATGTATTATGTTTATAGTACCCTTGTACTTATAAAGTTTCTTTATCTTTATATTCTACATGTTCAATCTGACATTCTTTTTTTTTAGTATGTTCTTTAAATTTTTCAATTCATATCTTTTATATCATTATTCTATAGAACAGACATTGCTATCAGATCATTTGTTTACCTATCTGCATTTGCATTTGAATAATCAGAAACTCATTTGCATTTGTGACAAGGGTCATAGTTATTATATTAATTCAATTTAAGCCTTGAAAGAAAGTATAGAACCCTCAAATAATTTTCAAATTATTATTTTTTTATTTGTCCTAAGACATTTAAAATCATTTAATTACCATCCTTTTATGATTATTTGTTCAATTTATATTTTATTTATATTCTTTTAAAAATTTACATTATTTAAAGGAAAGTAACTTAAAACAGGATAAATCAAGGGAAGTAACCCAATAAATACACAAAGTTTTTATTACACAACAGCAGTTAGCCTGAGGTAAAAAATCGTTGATTACCAGTATGTTTGACACCCAAGCTGACAAGTGAAGCCATATAATTATGCATGTTAATTGATTTACAGGTAAAATATAACTTCAGGTGATGTCAGTTACACCAGATGTCTGAGATAATATGTTGGGCAGAAATATTTCATACACTGGATTTTTTTCTCTTCAACGCGAGGTCGAGAGGAGACCCCTGAAAACGGGATTATTGTACTCCCGTCGGGAGGTTCACATGTATGAAAAAAGGAAAAAAAAATCCCCCCCAATTTTTTTGAACCCCCTTATGATTCATCACCCCAAACTCAATCCCAGCTTTCCCTTTGTGGTATGGTACCTTGCAGTACAATTTCAGAGAGATCCATACACTTGAACACAAGTTATTGTCTGGAAACTAGAAAAATGCTTGTTTTTTGGCCCCTTATTCCTAAACTTTTTGGGCAATTACCCCCAAACTCAAACCCAGCTTTCCCTTTGTGATATGGAACCTTGTAGTACAATTTCATAAAGATCCATACACTTACACACAAGTTATTGTCCTGAAACTAGAAAAATGCTTGTTTTTTGCCCTTTTATGGCCCCTAATTACTAAAATTTTGAGGGAATTACCCCCAAAATCAATCCCAGCCTTCCCTTCGTGGTATGGTACCTTGCAGTACAATTTCAGAGAGATCCATACATTTGAACACAAGTTATTGTCTGGAAACTAGAAAAATGCTTATTTTTGGCCCCTTATTCCTAAACTTTTTGGGCAATTACCCCCAAACTCAATTCCAGCTTTCCCTTTGTGATATGAAACCTTGTAGTACAATTTCATAAAGATCCATACACTTGCACACAAGTTATTGTCATGAAACTAGAAAAATGCTTGTTTTTCGCCCCTAATTCCTAAAATTTGGAGGCAATTACCCCCAAAATCAATCCCAGCATTCCTTTTGTGATATGGAACCTTGTGATACAATGTCAGAGAGATCCATACACTTACACACAAGTTATTGTCATGAAACTAAAATAAAATGCTCCGCAGGGCGCAGCTTGATACGACCGCAGAGGTCGAATCCTGAACAGTTGGGGCAAGTATGGACACAACATTCAAGCTTGATACAGCTTTGCATTTGGATTGTGATTAAATATTTGACACAGCATAGGTTTCTGACACAGAATGAATGTGGTCTAAGAACTTAAAAATTTTAAATTGGACATTCACCTATTATGGTCCAATATCCAAAATCTAAATACATGGTTAGATTCAGCATATCAAAGAACCCAAAGAATTCAATTTTTGATGAAATCAAACAAAGTTTAATTTTGGACCCTTTTGACCTCAATGTGGACAAAGTTGAAAACGCGGCCCAAAAATCAAAAATCTAAATACATGGTTAGATTCAGCATATCAAAGAACCCCAAATATTCAATTTTTGTTGAAATCAAACAAAGTTTAATTTTGGACCCCGATTTGGACCAACTTGAAAACTGGGCCCATAATCAAAAATCTAAATACATGTTTAGATTCAGCATATCAAAGAACCCTAAGAATTCAATTTTTGTTAAAATCAAACTAAGTTTAATTTTGGACCCTTTGGACCTTAATGTAGACCAATTTGAAAACGGAACCAAAAATTAAGAATCTAAATACATGGTTAGATTCGGCATATCAAAGAACCCCAATAATTCAATTTTTGATGAAATCAAACAAAGTTTAATTTTGGACCCTTTGGACCTCAATTTGGACCAATTAAAAAAAACGGGGCCCAAAATCCAAAAACTAAATACACGGTTAGATTCAGCATATTAAAGAAACCCAAGAATTCAAGAATAAAACCCCATTGAAATTGGTCAAGAAATAAGCAATTTATACGAAGTATCTTCTTTTGCACAATACTGTGCAATTAAATATTTCTTGCTATTGCGCAATACTGTACAATTGACAATTTCTTGCTATTGCGCAATATTGTGCTATTGGATATTTCTTGCTATTGCGCAATACTGTGCAATTGAAGATTTCTTGCTATTGCGCAATACTGTGCAATTGAAGATTTCTTGCTATTGTGCAATACTGCGCAATTGAAAATTTCTTGCTATTGCACAATACTTATTATATAATAATTTACACATCCTGTTTGGTGTGTATCTCCTACCATATCATTATTATTTGCTTTTAAATATAAATCAGAAATAACCAACTTAAAATGGAAAATTTTAAAAGAAAAAAAAAATGAAAAAAAAAAAAATCCCCCCCCCCACAAATATTTTGAACCCCCTTATGATTCATCACCCCCAAACTCAATCCCAGCCTTCCCTTTGTGGAATGGTACCTTGCAGTACAATTTCAAAGAGATCCATACACTTGAACACAAGTTATTGTCTGGAAATTAGAAAAATGTGTTTTTTGGCCCCTTTTTGTCCCCAAATTCCTAAACGTTTAGGGCACTTACCCCCAAACTCAAACCCAGCTTTCCCTTTGTGATATGGAACCTTGTAGTACAATTTCAGAAAGATCCATACACTTACACACAAGTTATTGTCCTGAAACTAGAAAAATGCTTGTTTTTTGCCCCTTTTTGGCCCTTAATTCCTAAAATATTGAGGCAATTACCCCCATCATCAATCCCAGCCTTCCCTTTGTGGTATGGTACCTCGCAGTACAATTTCAGAGAGATCCATACACTTGAACACAAGTTATTGTCTGGAAACTAGAAAAATGCTTATTTTTGGCCCCTTTTTGGCCCCCCAATTCCTAAATGTTTCGGCAATTACCCCCAAACTCAATTCCAGCTTTCCCTTTGTGATATGGAACCTTGTAGTACAATTTCAGAAAGATCCATACACTTACACACAAGTTATTGTTATGAAACTAGAAAAATGCTTGTTTTTTGCCCCTTTTTTGGCCCCTAATTCCTAAAATTTTGAGGCAATTACCCCCAAAATCAATCCCAGCATTCCTTTTGTGATATGGAACCTTGTGGTACAATGTCAGAGAGATCCATACACTAACACACAAGTTATGTCTGGAAGTTACAAAAATGCTTATTTTTGGCCCCTTTTTGGCCCCTAATTCCTTTACTGTTGGTACCATAACCCCCAAAAACAATCCCAACCTTCCTTTTGTGGTATTGAACCTTGTGGTAAAATTTCATAGAGATCCATTCACTTAAACTAAAGTTAGAGTGCGAAAACCAATGTGTCTTCGGACGACGCCGGACGACGCCAGACGACGACGACGACGACGACGCCGGACGACGACGACGCCAACGTCATACCAATATACGACCACAAAAATTTTTTTGCGGTCGTATAAAAATGCTTGTTTTTTGCCCCTTTTTTTGGCCCCTAATTCCTAAAATTTGGAGGCAATTACCCCCAAAATCAATCCCAGCATTCCTTTTGTGATATGGAACCTTGTGGTACAATGTCAGAGAGATCCATACACTTACACACAAGTTATGTCTGGAAGTTACAAAAATGCTTATTTTTGGCCCCTAATTCCTTAACTGTGGGTACCATAACCCCCAAAATCAATCCCCTCCTTCCTTTTGTGGTATTGAACCTTATGGTAAAATTTCATAGAGATCCATTCACTTAAACTAAAGTTAGAGTGCGAAAACTAATGTGTCTTCCGACGACGACGCCAACGTCATACCAATATACAACCACAATAATTTTTTTGCAGTCGTATAAAAATGTGTTTTTTGGCCCCTAATTCCTAAACGTTCGGGCAATTACCCCCAAACTCAATTCCAGCTTTCCCTTTGTGATATGGAACCTTGTAGTACAATTTCAGAAATATCCAAACACTTACACACAAGTTATTGTCATGAAACTAGAAAAATGCTAGTTTTTTGGCCCCTTATTCCTAAAATTTGAGGCAATTACCCCCGAAATCAATCCCAGCATTCCCTGTGTGATATGGAACCTTGTGGTACAATTTCAGAGAGATCCATACACTTGAACACAAGTTATTGTCTGGAAACTAGAAAAATGCTTATTTTTGGCCCCTTTTTCCTAAACGTTTCAGGCAATTACCCCCAAACTCAATTCCAGCTTTCCCTTTGTGATATGGAACCTTGTAGTACAATTTCAGAAAGATCCATACACTTACACACAAGTTATTGTCATGAAACTAGAAAAATGCTTGTTTTTTGCCCCTTTTTTGGCCCCTAATTCCTAATATTTTGAGGCAATTACCCCCAAAATCAATCCCAGCATTCCCTTTGTGATATGGAACCTTGTGGTACAATGTCAGAGAGATCCATACACTAACACACAAGTTATGTCTGGAAGTTACAAAAATGCTTATTTTTGGCCCCTTTTTGGCCCCTAATTCCTTAACTGTTGGTACCATAACCCCCAAAATCAATCCCAACCTTCCTTTTGTGGTATTGAACCTTATGGTAAAATTTCATAGAGATCTATTCACTTAAACTAAAGTTAGAGTGCGAAAACCAATGTGTCTTCGGACGACGACGACAACGACGACGATGACGCCACCGTCATACCAATATACGACCGCAAAATTTTTTGCGGTCGTATAAAAATGATATATACCCTGTATACAAATCAAGATAAATTCCCCTCATAGGTGGCAGCACCATCTGTAAATCACCTGTCAAATAACCATCTACACTGATCCGTAAGTTCAGGTCACTGCTTCTTCTATCAGCTTCATGTGGATATCTAAGAATAAATAGTACAAAATGCATCATCCAGCCTAACTCTTGGGATATCTAAGTAGAAATAATACAAACTGAATCATTTCACCAAACTCTTGGGATATCTAAGTATAATAAATTGCTTCGCCGAGCGCAGCTGGATATGACTGCAGAGGTCCAACCCTGAACAGTTGGGGCAAAAATGGACACAATATTCGCGCTTGATACAGGTCTGAATTTGGATTGTAATTCAATATTTGACACATAATAGGTTTCTGAAACAGAATAACTGTAGTCAAAGAACTTAGAATTGGTTATATGATTTGAATTTATATTCAATTTTTTGCTTTTGTGCAATACACTATGCTGTTGCGAATTGACCTCCCCCCCCCCCCTCCCAAAAAAAAGTAAAAATGTACCCCCCCCCCCCTTCTTTTTAAAAAAAAACTTTTTTTACCCCCCCCCCCCTTTACAAAATATTTGAAGAAATTTTTCTTTTTGATATCTGAAATCTTGAGGAGAAAAAATTGTCCCACCCCCACCCCATATGTATCTTCACCTCAAGACAATACAACATTTCTTTATACATAATTTAAAAGCAGTGTAAGGGAGGTTATTCAAACACAACATTGTCCTTAAGTAATGGTCCATTAACCAAGACAGTGAGGACACCCTTGTTTTTTCTCACTTTTTTGCCCCTAATTCCTAAATGGTTTGAGCCATAACACCCCACAGCCAATCCTTACCATCCCTTTGTGGTATGGAAACCTGTGGTATAATTTCAGAGAGATCCATACACCATTCCACAAGTTATTGTCGGGAAACTAGAAAAATGCTTATTTGAGCCCCTTTTTGGCCCCTAATTCCTAAACTGTTGGGACCATAACCCCTAAAATCAATCACAACCTTCCTTTTGTGGTTATAAACCTTGTGTTGAAATTTCATAGATTTCTATTTACATTTACTAAAGTTATTGTCTGGAAACCAAATGTCTTCGGACGACGACAATGAAGTGATACCAATATACCACCGCAAAATTTTTTATAAAAAGGGAAGAGAAAGTATCATATAGCTATACAATTTCAATTAAAAAACTTTTTTCTTTATCATTTCTATAAAATTCATTGTTTCATGGTACTCAATGAATTAATCCCAGATGCTTCTTCATATCAAAATGATATATATTTTTTTTTAACAAAGCTAAGCTACTTTAATCAGTATATTGAAACAATGCATTTTCAAAAAGAATACATTTAGCAAGGAGATTACCCAATAAGGGGTGATCCATTTGTGCATCTGTAGTTAATATCGAAAATATGTGGATTTCTGTCATATCTGGTCCGGTTCTGATCCGTAGTTTACACAAATATTTCAATGGAGGCTGAAGGAAAATTTACGAAAATAAACAATGTTTGACAAGAGATTGGGAATGAATAAGACGCTTTTAATGCATTAAATGGATGAAACATTAACTAAAGCCAATAATGATCACTTTTTAAAGAAGGATCAAACTTATTTAGCTCAAAATCAAAAATTTTCTCGATTAACAAGACTAGTACCGGAAGGGAAAGAAAGTAATTTTTTGAAAGTTGTAAAAAATATACGACCAAACCTCTTTTCTTAAGAGATAAATCGTTTGTATCTTTGAATTTCCATTATGCAAACGTAGATTTCGAATTGTTTTATGATTTACTGATTACATTTTCTCCATTTCGAAATTTGCAATTGGACCACGTGGTATTAGTCATGTCACAAGTGTCAGCTTGGGGTATTTGTATCCCAACATTTATCACCCAAAGGGCAATTAACACCTATTTAATCACTCTAATTGCCTCATTGTCCGACTTGAAGGGATTACAATTAAAGGTGATATAATTTTTATGATCATCACAAGCGGTATTTAGATGAAAGTTCAAAATTTAGGACATGCCATGATGGTTTTGCGATATAGACAAGAAAAATAGCATTCTCAAAATAATTATAGCATCGCAGAAATTATTATAGCATCACGGAAAAAAAATATAGCGTCTTGGTGCCACTACGCTAAAACGGCCTGGGGAGAACACTGTAAGATGTTTCTCAATATTTGGAACAATTATTCTAAACAATTATGTGTAAGAAAATTTAAGTATTCTGTAAACAGGAAGTGGATGAGTGATGAATCTGAAAATGCATCTCACAGCAAAGCATGCTCACATGAAGCTCGATACCAAATTTCAGGAAGCTCTGATCTGTAGTTCCTGGGGAAAATATGTATTTTATTTTGATTGGATTAAAATTTGTAGTCAATGAATCTGTGAAAATAAAATAACTTCATTCAAAGGTAAGGTCTTAAATCATATATCTGCCTTACAGTAGATCATTCAAAGGTCAAGCCTTACTTTCACATCATATATCTGCCTAACAGTAGAAAGTATAGTATCTGTACTTACTTATCATACATATGTCCATGCTCCTTGTGGGGATCAGAAAATTTAGGTGGTAACAGCTGTGTCCTCCAGACGACCTTCATTGGTGTAGGTGGTGAACCCTGGTCTATGACCTTATCTATCAGTGGTTGCCATGGTTTTTTAATGTTTTGTCTAAAACTGGTTAATCCTGCGTGTGGAGTCTTCGATAATACACTATAAATTCAATGTAAGAACTATTAAAATCAACATTTTATATCAGAATGACATGAATGCTCCTCCTGTAGCATTGTCATAAAATGTTGCCCAACCTGAAGGAACTTGCAAACTCAATCTGTATTAAAGTCATACTAAAACCCTTAAAAACACTTTATGTCCTGGCTACTAACAATAAAATGCTTGCTGAGCGTAGCTGGATACGACCGAAGAGGTCCAACCCTGAACAGTTGGAGCAAAAATGGACACAATATTCCCACTTGATACAGGTCTGAATTTGGATTGTAATTAAATATTTGACACAGAATAGCTGTAGTCAAAGAACTTAGAATTGGTTATATGATTTGAATTTATATTCAATTTTTTCATTTTGTGCAATACACTATGCTGTTACGAATTGACCCCCCCCCCCCCACCTTTTTTTTTGCAAAAAAAAAAAATTTTGAAGAAATTTTCTTTATAATTTCCGAAATCTGAAATGAGAAAAGATGGACAATTTAAAAGCAGTGTAAGGGAGGTAATCCAAACACATTTAAAGTACAATGTTGTGCATGTTTGGATTTACCTCCCTTACACTGTTTTTAAATTATGTATAAAGAAATGTTGTATTGTCTTGAGGTGATTAGCTGTCAATTTATTTTTAGAAGTTACTATGAAAGGAATATTAATTTTAGCCATGATTATGTATGTCATTTTCTATTTATGACTTTTATGATGTATTTAAATTGGTAATTATGGTTGCAAACTCCATTGGAGATTTGAATTGAGATTATGCCCATATCTTGAGTTAAAGAATTTTTTTTGGGAAAAAGGGTGGGGGGGGGGGGGAATTGGGGGGTGGGTGGTAAAAAAGAAACTGTTGGGGGGGGGGGGCAATCTTTTCTCATTTCAGATTTCAGAAATAATAAAGAAAATTTCTTCAAATATGTTTTTTTTGCAAAAAAAAGGGGGGGGGGGGGATTTTTTTTTTGGGGGGGGGGGAAAGGGGGGGGGGGGGTCAATTCGCAACAGCATAGTGTATTGCACAAAACCAAACAATTAAATATAAATTCAAATTATAATTTCAGAGAGATCCATACACCGTTCCACAAGTTATTGTCTGGAAACTAGAAAAATGCTTATTTGGGCCCCTTTTTGGCCCCTAATTCCTAAACTGTTAGAACTATAACCCCCAAAATCAATCCCAACCTTCCTTTTGTAGTTATAAACCTTGTGTATAAATTTTATAGATTTCTATTTACATTTACTAAAGTTATTGTCTGGAAACCAAATGTCTTCAAACGACGACGACGACATGATACCAATATACGATAGCAAAATTTTTTGCGGTTGTATAAAAATGGGGTGGATTAATCATTAACATTTATTCAATGTTCTCTTTCCTACCTCCTTAAAAAAAGAAGTGTTTATTAACCAACTATTATACAATAATAAACTATTGACACAGAGATATGTCTCGCCTGTCGGCATAAAATTCAGAAAAAGACATCTGATGGACAGCAACATTGCTTATTAATTCAAAGTCTCTGGACCATGATCTAGTGGGCAGGGGCCTCAAAAGAGTCGTCAAACTGATATGCACTGATAGTAATGCAACTTCATACAAAATATCATTGATCTATCACAAGTAGATCCTATCAAACTAACTAAAGCAGAAAACTTAACATTGAAAATTGCTTATTAATTCAATCACTGGACCATGTCCTAGGTTGCAGGGCCTCAAAATAGTCATCAAACTGATATGTACTAAATTGCTTATTAATTAGACAATAAACACAATGGTAAACCTGTAATAATTTCTGTTTCTTTATCAAATTACAGATAACTTTTTATTCATACTTCAGAAATAATGTATTCTAAGTTCAGTGGTTGTCACTGGTTGCTGTCTGTTATATCTGTTTTTTTGTTAATTGTTTTGTCATAAATCAGGTTGTTTGTTTTTTTGCTTTAATTGTTTCACATTTTGTAATGTTGGGACCTTTTATAGACGCCTATACCTTATGGGTTTTGCTCATTGTTGAAGGCTGTATGGTTGCCTATAATCATTATTGCCTATTTATCATACACATGCCATCGCCATTGCCTTATTAGCATACATATGTCTAAATCAATTCTGTGTTGTTAAAAGGTATGACATGTATCATGATTACCAAATTCAAATATTCTGAATCTTAATTAAATATGCACATTATGGACAAAAGACTAAATTTTCTATGAATATTATTTCCCCTTAGGGTGAAAAGAGTTTACAATTAATTTTGTGTATACTTGATAATTAACAGTATAATGTATGAAACATTTAAACAACAAACCAGCTTGGGGAGTATGCAGGGAAATTTATGCTAGGTAAAATTTGTGTTTTATTAGCTGCTGTAAAAAAAAGAGAAAAATTAAACACAAGCGAAAAAACTTGATATAGGGTATAGATAATTTTTTTAAATCAAATTCTATTCCCTTAGCAATTAATCTATATATTTTTATTTTAACAAATGTTCGACTCACTTAGCAGTAAATCTTCGATACATTTTAAATGACTCATCCGTTTTACCCTGTAATGCATAAACCATGGATAGATAATAGTACAGATATTTTTCTTTCTCTGCCAGAGTCTGTAAACGTTTAATAGCCTCATCATACAGGGAACCAGTCTTCTCTGAAATGAATACAAAAAAATATTTATTGTTAACTCAAAATTTGTACTTATCCTAGTACAAATGTGTAAAAAGTTTCATGTTCATATTTCATAGGTCAATAAATCACAAAATGTTTTGATATCCTATAAACAAGGTTTTAAATGACATGACAGTATTCTGATAAGGTTTTAAATCACATGACTGTATTCTAATAAGGTTTAAATCACATGACAGTATACTGATAAGGTTTTAAATCACATGACTGTATTCTGATAAGGTTTTAAATCACATGACAGTATATACTGATAAGGATTTAAATCACATGACTGTATTCTGATAAGGTTAAAATCTCATGACAGTATACTGATAAGGTTTTAAATCACATGACAGTATTCTGATAAGGTTTTAAATCACATGACTGTATTCTAACAAGGTTTTAAATCACATGACAGTATACTGATAAGGTTTTAAATCACATGACATTATTCTGATAAGGTTTAATTTAAATCACATTACAGTATTTTGATAGGGTTTTAAATCACATGACTATATTTGGACAAGGTTTTAAATCACATGACTTTATTCGGACAAGGTTTTAAATCATATGACTGTATTCTAACAAGGTTATAAAGAAGTCTATTAATACAAACCATGCCAATAACTTCCAAAATAACACAAGAATGCATCAAAAGCAGACAGGGGTCCAGCACACTCTATAGAATCTGGTAATTTAACAGAAATTGCTGACATCCAAGCTGCCAATGATCGATCTGCTTTCTGGTAACTCAATAACCTAAAATTCAGAGGAGTATAAAAATAGTTTCTGGTCACTCAATAACCTACAATTCAGAGGAGTACAAAATGACTTAGGTATAAAGAAATTACATTCTGGGAGTTGATAGAAAGGGCTAACATCCTGGTTAAAGAGAGATAAATTTTACAATAATAAAGTGTTTGTAATGTATACATTCCTCAATTCTGTGTAAGCAGTCACATGAAACAGAATTATATATAACTGTGATACATTTGTACCTAAAAGCTGACAATATAGTTTTTAAATTGTAGACATAATTGTACCAGTGATAATCCTTTAAGTTATTCAATAATCTACAATACAGCACATAGCATCCTAGATCTACAGTATCTTACCCTACATCATTATCCGCAGCACATAGCATCCTAGATTAACAGTATCTTACCCTACATCATTATCCTGCAGCACATACCATCCTAGATCTACAGTATCTTACCCTACATCATTATCCGCAGCACATAGCATCCTAGATCTACAGTATCTTACCCTACATCATTATCCTGCAGCACATACCATCCTAGATCTACAGTATCTTACCCTACATCATTATCCGCAGCACATAGCATCCTAGATCTACAGTATCTTACCCTACATCATTATCCTGCAGCACATACCATCCTAGATCTACAGTATCTTACCCTACATCATTATCCGCAGCACATAGCATCCTAGATCTACAGTATCTTACCCTACATCATTATCCGCAGCACATAGCATCCTAGATTAACAGTATCTTACCCTACATCATTAGACGCAGCACATAGCATCCTAGATCTACAGTATCTTACCCTACATCATTAGACGCAGCACATAGCATCCTAGATCTACAGTATCTTACCCTACATCATTAGATACAACACATAGCAGCCTATATCTACAGTATCTTATCCTACATCAGCAGAGGCAGCCCATAGCATCCTAAATCTACAGTATCTTACCCTACATCATTAGACGCAGCACATAGTAGCCTATATCTACAATATCTTACCCTACATCATAAGATGCAGCCCATAGCATCCAAGATCTTCATTATCTTACCCTAGACATCATTAGAGGCAGTACATAGCATCCTAGATCTACAGTATTTTACCTTACATCATTAGAGGCAGTACATAGCATCCTATATCTACAGTATCTTACCCTACATCATAAGACGCAGCACACAGCATCCTATATCTACAGTATCTTACCCTACATCATTAGACGCAGTACATGGCAGTCTCTATCTACAGTATCTTACCCTACATCATTAGATGCAGCACATAGCAGCCTAGATCTACATTATCTTACCCTACAACATTAGATACATCACATAGCAGTCTCTATCTACAGTATCTTACCCTACATCATTAGATGCAGCACATAGCAGCCTAGATCTACATTATCTTACCTTACATCATTAGACGCAGTACATGGCATCCCATATCTACAGTATCTTACCCTACATCATTAGACACAGCACATAGCATCCTATATCTACAGTATCTTACCCTACATCATTAGATGCAGCACATAGCAGCCTAGATCTACATTATCTTACCTTACATCATTAGACGCAGTACATGGCATCCCATATCTACAGTATCTTACCCTACATCATTAGACACAGCACATAGCATCCTATATCTACAGTATCTTACCCTACATCATTATACACAGCATATAGCATCCTAGATCTACAGTATCTTACCCTACATCATTAGACGCAGCACATAGCATCCTAGATCTACAGTATCTTACCCTACATCATTAGACGCAGCACATAGCATCCTATATCTACAGTATCTTACCCTACATCATTAGATACAACACATAGCAGCCTATATCTACAGTATCTTACCCTACATCATCAGAGGCAGTACATAGCATCCTAGATCTACAGTATCTTACCCTACTTCATTAGAGGCAGTACATAGCATCCTAGATCTACAGTATCTTACCCTACATCATTAGACGCAGCACATATCATCCTAGATCTACAGTATCTTACCCTTCATCATTAGACACAGAAAATAGCATCCTATATCTACAGTATCTTACCCTACATCATTAGATACAACACATAGCAGCCTATATCTACAGTATCTTACCCTACATCATTAGATACAACACATAGCAGCCTATATCTACAGTATCTTATCCTACATCAGCAGAGGCAGCCCATAGCATCCTAAATCTACAGTATCTTACCCTACATCATTAGACGCAGCACATAGTAGCCTATATCTACAATATCTTACCCTACATCATAAGATGCAGCCCATAGCATCCAAGATCTTCATTATCTTACCCTAGACATCATTAGAGGCAGTACATAGCATCCTAGATCTACAGTATCTTACCTTACATCATAAGAGGCAGTACATAGCATCCTATATCTACAGTATCTTACCCTACATCATTAGATGCAGCACATAGCATCCTATATCTACAGTATCTTACCCTACATCATTAGACACAGCACAGAGCATCCTATATCTACAGTGACTTACCCTACATCATTATATACAGCACATAGAATTCTATATCTACAGTGACTTACCAGACATGATTAGATGCAGCACATAGCATCCTACATGTATATCTACAGTGACTTACCACACATGATTAGACGCAGCACATAGCATCCTACATGTATATCTACAGTATCTTACCCTACATCATTAGACACAGCCCATATCATCCTATATCTACAGTATCTTACCCTACATCATTAGACACAGCCCATAGCATCCTAGATCTACAGTATCTTAACCTACATCATTAGACGCAGCACATAGCATCCTAGTTCTACAGTATCTTACCCTACATCATTAAAAGCAGCACATAGCATCCTAGATCTACAGTATCTTACCCTACATCATTAGACGCAGTACATAGCATCCTAGTTCTACAGTATCTTACCCTACATCATTAGACGCAGCACATAGCATCCTAGATCTACAGTATCTTAACCTACATCATTAGACGCAGCACATAGCATCCTAGTTCTACAGTATCTTACCCTACATCATTAGACGCAGCACATAGCATCCTAGTTTGTCTGTCAATTTCAGCCACCAAATCTTCTTTGTTGTGTTTTTGTTTTGTTGCTAAGGCATCTTTGGCTAAATGGAAATATCTTACAGCAGAATCACTGTCTCCGAACTGTAAAGACATCCTTCCTGCATCATATAGATACATAGCTTTCACCCTCACTGAAATATAATAACATAAGGATAGAGTCATGGTGTGATGACTGGCTATCATGTTTATTAGATCTGTGTCTATTCTTAATTATCTTTAAAAAAAATTATCACCATACATGGGATCAACTACGTGATGATGATGATGGATGGCTGCTTAACGTCTAGTGGCAAATTAATATGCATATTCAGCACGAGAACATGTTAATGTAATTTGAATATTTACCCTGCTTTGTACTAGACCGACACACTGAGCCTGATTTTTAACGTGCTAGCTCACAAGGTAACAGTCCAAAAGGAAGACATGTCACCTTAACTGGGTCAACTACATGAACTTCAGACTAAAATACATAACTTTAAACTGAATCTTAACCTTTCATTAAGGGCCAGACATGGGGTCAACTATATGAACTTCAGACTTAAATATCTACCTTTCGACTGAATCTTAACCTTTCATTAAGGGCCAGACATGGGGTCAAAAACATGAACTTCAGACTTAAATATCTACCTTTCGACTGAATCAACTTTTTATTAAGGGCCATACATGGGGTCAACTACATGAGGGCCAGACATGGGGTCAACTACATGAACTTCAGCTAAAGTAAGTAACTTTCAGCTGAATCTTAACCTTTCATTAAGGGCCAGACATGGGGTCAACTACATGAACTTCAGCTAAGGTAACTTACTTTCAGCTTAATCTTAACCTTTCATTAAGGGCAAGTCATGGGGTCAACTACATGAACTTCAGCTAAAGTAACTAACTTTCAGCTGAATCTTAACCTTTCATTAAGGGCCAGAAATGGGGTCAACTACATGAACTTCAGCTTAAGTAACTAACTTTCAGCTGAATCTTAACCTTTCATTAAGGGCCAGACATGGAGTCAACTACATGAACTTCAGCTAAAGTAACTAACTTTCAGCTGAATCTTAACCTTTCATTAAGGGCCAGACATGGGGTCAACTACATGAACTTCAGCTAAAGTAACTAACTTTCAGCTTAATCTTAACCTTTCATTAAGGGCCAGACATGGAGTCAACTACATGAACTTCAGCTAAAGTAACTAACTTTCAGCTGAATCTTAACCTTTCATTAAGGGCCAGACATGGGGTCAACTACATGAACTTCAGCTAAAGTAACTAACTTTCAGCTGAATCTTAACCTTTCATTAAGGGCCAGACATGGGGTCAACTACATGAACTTCAGCTAATGTAACTAACTTTCAGCTGAATCTTAACCTTTCATTAAGGGCCAGACATTAAGTCAACTATATGAAACAGAAACTTAAGTAATCAACTTTCAACTGAATATTAAACAGTCAGCAATGGTAGCATAGCAGGCAAAACAATCAAGACATTTGGGGTATTAATTTTCAAACTAATTACTGGTAACGTAAACTGCTATATGGTTATATATATAATTAGCAATGGTAGCATAGCAGGCAAAACAGTCATGACACTATATTAGCACAGATATAATTATTACAACAGAAAATGAGAGATAACAAGATTTGATTTTTGCTTCATGTTGAAGGTCTCACTGTTATTTTGAGATGAAGAACATCAAAAAATCGCTGTTCCTTTGGTTTTGCTTTTTTAATGAGTAAAAACAGATTTTTTTGTTTTGAATTGACATGATTGATATAACATATCTTTCGTTTTCATTATCAGGATTATCTTGAATAACAATATGAAAGAGGGGCGATTGATAACAGAGGGACAGTCAAACTCATAGATCGAAAACAAACTGACAATGCCATGGCCAAAAATAAAAAGACAAATAGACAAATAATAGTACAAATACTATAATGCAACCCCACCAAAACCTGGGGGTGATCTCAGGTGCTCCTGAAAAGTAAGCAGATCCTGCTCCACATGTGGCACCCGTCATGTTGCTTATGTTATTACAAATCCGGTAAATAGTCTAATTCGGTAGGTCACATTCGTGAAAAGGGAAGGGTATTGTAGTTACGACATAAGGAACATATCCGATATCATCTGTGAAACGGTTATTCCATAACGGTCAACCAACTCGTGATGGTGATGAAGATATAATGTTAGGGATATACCAAAGGGAATGGATAACAAAAAAAATTCACTACAAGTAATATGCATTATAGTATTTTAAAACATTTGCCCTTATTTTTCAATGTTTAGTCTGTGTCATTGTACAAATATAGCATAAGATGGGACACGTTGTGAAAGTTTGTATTAACAACTCCTTTACTCATTGAAAAAAAAGAAATTGCTGTAAATATTTATGACCTGAAATAATTACACACACATAAAATAAAATGCTTCGCTGGGGCGCAGCTTGATACGACCGCAGAGGTCGAACCCTGAACAGTTGGGGCAAGTATGGACACAACATTCAAGCTTAATACAGCTCTGAATTTGGATTGTTATTAAATATTTGACACAGCATAGGTTTCTGACACAGAAAGAATGTGGTCTAAGAACTTGAATTTTTTTAATTTACCTATTATGGTCCAATGTCCAAGATCAAAATACATGGTTAGATTCAGCATATCAAATTAAAGAACCCCATATATTCAATTTTTGTTAAAATCAAACAAAGTTTAATTTTGGACCCCAACTTGGACCAACTTGAAAACTGGGCCCATAATCAAAAATCTAAACACATGTTTAGATTCAGCATATCAATTAACCCCAAGAATTCAATTTTTGCTAAAATCAAACTAAGTTTAATTTTGGACCCTTTGGACCTTAATGTAGACCAATTTAAAAAACGGGACTTAAAATTAAAAATCTAAATACACGGTTAGGTTTGGAATATCAAAGAACCCCAATAATTCAATTTTTGATGAAATCAAACAAAAATTAATTTTGGACCCTTTTGACCTCAATATGAACCAATTTGATAGCGGGGCCCACAAATAAAAAATCTAAATTCATGGTAAGATTCAGCATATCAAAGAACCCCATATATTCAATTTTTGTTGAAATCAAAAAAAGTTTAATTTTGGACCCCAACTTGGACCAACTTGAAAACTGGGCCCATAATCAAAAATCTAAACACATGTTTAGATACAGCATATCAAAGAACCCCAAGAATTCAATTTTTGTTAAAATCAAACTTAGTTTAATTTTGGACCCTTTGGACCTCAATGAAGACCAATTTAAAAAACGGGACCCAAATTAAAAATCTAAAAACACGGTTAGACTTGGCATATCAAAGAACCCCAATAATTCAATTTTTGATGAAATTAAACAAAGTTTAATTTTGGATCCTTTTGACCTCAATATGAACCAATTTGATAGCGGGGGCTACAAATAAAAAATCTAAATACATGGTTAGATTCAGCATATCAAAGAACCTCATATATTTAATTTTTGTTGAAATCAAACAAAGTTTAATTTTGGACCCCAATTTGGACCAACTCGAAAACAGGGCCCATAATCAAAAATCTAAATACATGTTTAGATTCAGCATATCAAAGAACCCCATATATTCAATTTTTGTTGAAATCAAACAAAGTTTAAATACTGGACCCTATCTTGGACCAACTTGAAAACTGGGCCCATAATCAAAAATCTAAACACATGTTTAGATTCAGCATATCAAAGAACCCCAAGAATTCAATTTTTGTTAAAATCAAACTAAGTTTAATTTTGGACCCTTTGGACCTTAATGTAGACCAATTTAAAAAACAGGACCCAAAATTAAAAATCTAAATACACGGTTAGATTTGGAATATCAAAGAACCCCAATAATTCAATTTTAGATGAAATCAAACAAAGTTTAATTTTGGACCCTTTTGACCTCAATATGAACCAATTTGATAAAGGGGTCCACAAATAAAAAATCTAAATACATGGTTAGATTCAGCATATCAAGGAACCCCATATATTCAATTTTTGTTGAAATCAAACAAAGTTTAATTTTGGACCCCAATTTGGACCAACTTGAAAACTGGGCCAAAAATCAAAAATCTAAATACATGTTTAGATTCAGCATATCAAAGAACCTCATATATTTAATTTTTGCTAAAATCAAACAAAGTTTAATTTTGGACCCTTTGGACCTTAATGTAGACCAATTTGAAAACTGGACCCAAAATTAAAAATCTAAATACACTGTTGGATTCGGCATAACAAATAAATAAATGTGATCAAAGATTTTACAAATCTAATGCGCCATACTGTGCAATTAAAGATTTCTTCTTGAAATTTTTCAATATTTGAAATTTGAAAAAAAAATAATATTTGAAGAATAATTTTTTTAATTTCTGAAATCTGAAATGAGAAAAATTGACCCCCCTCAATTTCTTTTTATCCCCCCTTTTTTCCCCCGAAAAATTCTTTCCCTCAAGATATGGTCATAATCTCAATTCAAATTTCCAATGGAGTTGGCAACCATAATTACCCATTTAAATTTACCATAGTGCTAACTTAATCTATTTTATAATAGAATTAAAAATATAGTGTCAAATCTTTCATATGGATTTTTTTGTAAAAAAAAAAGATGCAACATTTGCAGATATTTTTACTGGTCTTCCTTTATAAATATGCATTTCTTTAAACATAATTTAAAAGCAGTGTAAGGGAAGTAACCAAAACGTTGTATTTGGATTACCTCCCTTACACTGTTTTAAATTATCTTTATTGTTCATTAACCATTACTTTATACATAATTTAAAAGCAGTGTAAGGGAGATAATTTCAATGATGTATTTGATTTATCTCTCTTACACTGCTTTAAATTATGTTTTGTACTAAAGTATTTGTCCATTAACCAGGACAACCTTGTTTTTCCCCCTTTTTTGCCCCTAATTCCTAAACGGTTTGAGCCATAACACCCCAAAGCAAATCCTAACCATCCCTTTGTGGTATGGAAACTTGTAGTATAATTTCAGAGAGATCCATACACCGTTCCACAGTTATTGTCTGGAAACTAGAAAATGCTTATTTTTGGCCCCTTTTTGGCCCCTAATTCCTTAACTGTTGGTACCATAACCCCCAAAATCAATCCCAACCTTCCTTTTGTGGTATTTAACCTTATGGTCAAATTTCAAAAAGATCCATTTACTTAAAGTTAGAGTGCGAAAACCAATGTGTCTTCGGACGACGACGACGACGACACCAACGTCATACCAATATACGACCACAAAATTTTTTTGCAGTCGTATAAAAAGAACAATAAAGTTTGTGTTAATGTTTTTTCAGCTACATTATATTGTTAACTGTACAATTATATTATAAGTTATCTACGTTCATATCCATATCTACGGATATGAACGTAGATAACGAATTTATCCCCGGTCTTAGTCTAAATCTGGCGATTTTTAGAGAAATTCGACCACAAAGTTAAACGTGAAAGCAACGTTTTTTTCATTTTTTAAATATCTTTTATTGAAATTTGGGAATTTGACATATTTTTAACGGGGTGTAGGGTACTACCTTTGGTAGAACCCTACAGGTAGACAAATATAAGACGTTTTTAAACTAGAGACAGAGAAACTGAAATGGGTCGAATTTGGCGCGCAATGTTGTGAGAGTTACATCATAAACGGTGTGACGTCAACGTGGGTCATTTGCATAGCTAGGTCAGTAGTACCATTCATTGACAATGTGGCTGCATAGTGACGATTTACTAAAATGTGTGCAAATAATTGATATAATAAGATAAAATCGTTAGTGGATTAAATATTTAATTATACAGACATCATGGAAAATCTACAGAATTCGATATTTCATAAGGAACAACCATGGAACTAAGGAAAACGCGCGTGAAATTCCCCGATGTAATGGGTAGCAACGTCCGGGGATATGGGTTAGCAACACCCAGGGGCTATGGGTTTTGTAACGACGTGCGTTAACCAATCAGAATCCTAGAAATATACTAAGCCGGGGATAAGTTAAAGTTGATATTGCTATTTTGCCTGTACAGGCAAATTAGAATTGGAGCTAATTTAATTTGTTAGGTAAGATTGTGCTAAGACTGCCTGCAATTTATATTTTTGCCTGAATGTTTAAGTTTCTATTAATGTCAAAGTTTGTTTTAATGATTGTTTTTATCATGCTGGATCTCAGATAAACTTACCTTTAGACTCACTATCAACTAATTTTAGGAAGGCTTGGGAGGCCTGCTTAAGATCACCTCTTGCCCACAGCACATAAGGAAAAACTAGGTCAAAAACTCTGTCATCAAATAAAATGTCATATTCTTTTGAATCCCTTGAACTTGTACATCTGAATAATAAACACAGATAACATGCTATTAATTTAATTTAATTTTTTGGTGTTTAACGCCACTTTTTATTGGTGGAGGAAGCCGGAGTGCCCGGAGAAAACCACTGACTTCGATAAGAAAACTGACAATCCTAGTCAAATAAGATTGGACTCCAGTGCACCCGCACGAGTGGGGTTCGAACTCACAACCTCAGTGTTGACTGGCTAGTGATTACAGTAGTAACTACTTAGACCACTCGGCCACCGAGGCCCCTAACATGCTATTACAAATGTTGCTTCCCCACAAATCGCCTTAACTGGTTTTAAAAATCAGGAGATGTGATATGATGGCCTATGAGATAACTATCCATGAAGACCAAAGGACAAAGATGTTAACAATTACAGGTTACTGTACAGCTTTCAACAATGAGCAAAACCTTACCCTTGAAGTAAGATATTAAAGGCTCAGGCATGGTGAAATGTGAAACAATTAAAATAAAATGCTCCGCAGGGCGCAGCTTGATACGACCGCAGAGGTCGAACCCTGAACAGTTGGGGCAAGTATGGACACAACATTCAAGCTTGATACAGCTCTTGAATTTGGATTGTGATTAAATATTTGACACAGCATAGGTTTCTGACACAGAATGAATGTGGTCTAAGAACTTAAAAATTTTAAATTGGACATTCACCTATTATGGTCCAATATCCAAAATCTAAATACATGGTTAGATTCAGCATATCAAAGAACCCCAAGAATTCAATTTTTGATGAAATCAAACAAAGTTTAATTTTGGACCCTTTTGACCTCAATGTGGACAAAGTTGATAATGGGGCCCAAAAATCAAAAATCTAAATACATGGTTAGATTCAGCATATCAAAGAACCCCATATATTCAATTTTTGTTGAAATCAAACAAGTTTAATTTTGGACCCCGATTTGGACCAACTTGAAAACTGGGCCCATAATCAAAAATCTAAATACATGGTTAGATTCAGCATATCAAAGAACCCTAAGAATTCAATTTTTGTTAAAATCAAACTAAGTTTAATTTTGGACCCTTTGGACCTTAATGTACACCAATTTGAAAACGGAACCAAACATTAAGAATCTAAATACATGGTTAGATTCGGCATATCAAAGAACCCCAATAATTCAATTTTTGATGAAATCAAACAAAGTTTAATTTTGGACCCTTTGGACCTCAATGTGGACCAATTTAAAAACGGGGCCCAAAATCCAAAAACTTATTACACGGTTAGAATCAGCATATTAAAGAACCCCAAGAATTCAAGAATAATTGGTCAAGAAATAAGCAATTTATACGAAGTATCTTCTTTTGCGCAATATTGTGCTATTGGATATTTCTTGCTATTGCACAATACTGTGCAATTGAAGATTTCTTGCTATTGCGCAATACTGTGCAATTGAAGATTTCTTGCCATTGTGCAATACTGTGCAATTGAAAATTTCTTGCTATTGCACAATACTTATTATATAATAATCTACACATCCTGTTTGGTGTGTATCTCCTATCATATCATTATTATTTGCTTTTAAATATAAAACAGAAATAACCAACTTAAAATGGAAAATTTTAAAAGAAAAAAAAAAGGAAAAAAAGAAAAAAAAGGAAAACCCCCCCCCCCAATTTTTTGAACCCCCTTATGATTCATCACCCCCAAACTCAATCCCAGCCTCCCCTTTGTGGTATGGTACCTTGTAGTACAATTTCAGAGAGATCCATACACTTGAACACAAGTTATTGTCTGGAAACTAGAAAAATGCTTATTTTTGGCCCCTTTTTGGCCCCTTATTCCTAAACATTTTGGGCAATTACCCCCAAACTCAATTCCAGCTTTCCCTTTGTGATATGGAACCTTGTAGTACAATTTCAGAAAGATCCATACACTTACATACAAGTTATTGTCATGAAACAAGAAAAATGCTTGTTTTTTGCCCCTTTTTTGGCCCCTAATTCCTAATATTTTGAGGCAATTACCCCCAAAATCAATCCCAGCATTCCCTGTGTGATATGGAACCTTGTGGTACAATGTCAGAGAGATCCATACACTAACACACAAGTTATGTCTGAAAGTTACAAAAATGCTTTTTTTTGGCCCCTTTTTGGCCCCTAAATCCTTAACTGTTGGTACCATAACCCCCAAAATCAATCCCAACCTTCCTTTTGTGGTATTGAACCTTATGGTAAAATTTCATAGAGATCCATTCACTTAAACTGAAGTTAGAGTGCGAAAACCAATGTGTCTTCGGACGACACCGGATGATGACGACGACGCCAACGTCATACTAATATAAAATTTTTTGCGGTCGTATAAAAACAAACTCAAAATAACATTAAAATGTGGTGTTACTACACAACATAAAACATAATTGTGAGTAAAAATCCATTTTACTTGGCTTGAGTGCTTGAAACTAACTATATCCCAGTGAACTTCAGGTTAAGGACACTACTGAAACTGAAACTAAAATAGAATTAAACTAGAGGTTCTAAAGATCCTGTGTCTCTCACCAGCATGTTGAACTATTCATGCCGTTAAAATATTTCCTAAACAACTTACAATATCATACCTGCCAACTTTTCATAATCTAAGAAGACAGAGACCCATTGGTGGCCTAGGGCTGTTTTCTGCTCTTTGGTCGTGTTGTTGTCTCTTTGACACATTCCCTGTTTCCATTCTCAATTTTATTTTAAATACATCTCTTATTTATATGTCATATGTGCTTTAAAATATTTTTCAACTCAATTGCGTGCCTGTTTGATGAATTTAGTTTATAATTAATGATTGCAGGTGTCCAACATCATTCCTCAGAGAAATCCACCATTAATCAAGAGAGTTGGCAGGTCTGCTTATGCAGTTTATCTACCTACAGATTCCCTGGAAGTTTGTTATTAATTAAACAGGGACATCCGCTGTCAGATATAGCTCTGCCAGTGAGATAATTAGTAACAACAAATCCAATATTGTTGTCAGAAAAAATAATGTTATATCCGTGTTCTGTGATTATCCAAAATTTTATTTGAAAATTGTTAAGTTTTTAACTTAATGTGCTGTTTTCTTCAAGGCTTTTATATTTTAATCCATAAAAAATATGAATATATATGCAATAATACTAAGAGGTCAACTGATCACTGGATGACAATCAATTAGTTTGATTTACAGACTATTAAAATATTTAGGACTGTTCCATTAAAACATACACTTACTACATTATCCTCCGAGACCTACAAAACATAAAATAGACAAGTGCAAAAGGTTTTACACCAAATAAAGTGACCCTATTGCTAAATACTGGTAGTATCTGAGAAATAGACCAAACAGGAAAAAATTATTTATTCCTTCCTAAAACAATATATTTGTATCTACGTTGGCCATTCTTTTTCTTCAAACAAAGTTTGACTTATTCTTTCAATCTTTCTTTAAGCTTAGATCATGTAGAATGGAACATACAAGTATTAAAAATGTTTTAAACTATTGAAAGAAGAAAGAGACTTAGATTGTAAGTGTGGTAAGAGTATATGTTGAGTTTCCAAGTGAATTGTCAATACATTGTATCTGTAATATGATTAAATTACACACAAAAACGATGGTGTTCAGGGTTTTATCTGCTAGCACAACAACATATTTGTCATGGACATAGGACAGGTGCTTAGCAACATTTGAAGATAGATGTAGATTAAGATTTTCTAGGTCTCTGTTATGGTAAGTCTCTGTTATGGGACACAATATAAGGACATACTTGTTCCTGATATACTGCTGGATTCTTTTCATATTTTGCTCCATTTCAGCAGACTGACAGTTTGTGTCTGATTTGTGACGTCTCTTTATTTGTTTACTCCCTGCTAATCTGGCTGGTAACATCAGATCAATGGTATGGGCCAATGCTAAGAAGAAATAATAAACTGTTAACACAGACATGACAGAGATATGTATAGCGTTTAGTCAGTTTTTATAGTATAATGCAAATGTTGAAAATAGAAAGGCAATATATATATATATATCATATACTTGTAGAAAGTAATGGAATAATTGTACCCCTTGATAAAACTAATTTATACATATATTTATTCAATAAATTTGAAGAATTGTCTTAGCCGTGTGATATGACTTTTGTTATCAACTGCTTCCGGTATATATCAACTGTTGCCGGTTTATATCAACTGCTTCCGGTTATTATCGCATGCCTTTCTTTAACGTAATCGCAAAGCATTTCGACATCATTCTGCAAATTCCGGAAAATAAACCTCAGTGGTACATTTAAGTGAAAAAGATAGCCAAGTAGAATAACAAAAGGAATATTAGGAAACAGGAAAGTATATTATTAAAAAACGCAAAACAAATAATACAATAAAGGAATTTTATAGAGTTTTAAAAAAGTTTTCATGTCTGTATGGCTTCTGCTGAAGTATATGATAAAAAGAACATAACATGTCATTTTTCATATCAGACCCCTTATCAACCCATGGTCAAAATCATCCCTCGAGCCTGTCGGCTCTGAAGGTGATAACATGACCTAGGGCTGATAAGGGGTCTGATATGAAAAATGCCATGTTATAATCTATATATATATAACTCGTCTCAAATTTAGCCCAACAATGTTAGATCTTCCCTCAGCGGTATTCGAACCCTTGCTTCTGTGACATTGTGGCAACACCGCCTGCACCGTGTCCAGCGCCCTAGACCATTCGACCACCTAGGCTACATAAAAATATAGCTTTCGGTGGTCGATGTTATGCCTTTCCTCGTCTGCTTTATCTAGGGTTGTAACACAGTACATGATGTATAGTGTCAAGTAGATGGTGTACCTTTCAGATCAGCTATTTTGTCTGTCGTAAAGGATGATAATGTTAATTACCATGCCGCCACATCAAATTTTAATTTTATTATACACGTCTAAACATGTGACAACTTTATGACAGATATTCTCCATCGGATAACACGTGGTTATACATATATATAATTCATCTCAAATTTTGGGAGCTACCATTTGATTTTTATGGGGGGCTAGGATGAAAAATTTTGTCCTGCCTATTTATTTTTCCCTCTATTCGGTCCTGCCTTTTTATTTTTCACTCTATTCGGTCCTGCATTCTTTTTTTTTTAGTTTATCCTGACTTTTTTTTACATAAATTGTCATCCTGCTTTTTTTTTTGGCAAATAATTGCATCCTGCCTTTTTTTTACTCAAAACTCCTGTCCTGCCTATTTTTTTCAAATTTCATCTTAGCCCCCATAAAAATCAAATGGTAGCTCCCTTAGCCCAACAATGTTAGATCTGCAAATTTGCGTTAGCAAATTTATGTTCTTCCCTCAGCGGGATTCGAACCCTTGATATATATAAATATATATAAACAAGTCTAAATTGAAAACAACGTTCAAACCTTTGATTGCGTTGGATAAAAACCGCAATTTTTATACGTGTGCATGCAAAACAAATTTCTTGTTAGAGGGGTCTAAATACAGCACAAACAACATTTTCCAAAAGACCAAAAAAGTATATTTTAACAAAACGCATTTGACTAACAGGTGGAACAACAAATGTTCTTAAACTCTGCTGACTGCCATTGGCGATTGCCAAATAAACAGATCACCGATGTAATAAATGGATCATAATTATAAATTTAATACTAAACAGAAAACAATAAACTCGCAGAAAAGATGGTATCCCGCAAACAAAAGGTGCAAAGGTTTTTGTACACCATATCCGGATTTCGACAATTAATATCTCTTCAGTGATGTTAGGAATCGAAACGGTATTTGGAAAGCCATACAATTTACCTCAATTTAGGATAGACTCTTGAATTTTGAGGAGTCAAAATAGGATGAACGGATCATATAAACCCGAAGGCAAATATAATACAAGCCCAAACGAAAAAATATAAACAAGTCTAAATTGAAAACAACGTTCAAACCTATTTTTATACGTGTGCATAAATATATATATATATACTTCAACATGTAAGCTATGCAAAATATTCAAAGTCAATGAACCATGACTGAAAGTGCAGGGCCAAATAACCTTCCTGAAAATGGGAAACAATTGCATACCAAATATCATTGACTTATCATAAGTCAGGTTCCCTTTAAATTGACCTAAACACAAACCACAAACTTGTGTAAACTAATTACTATGATGAGGGGGGACGGGGGCATATAACTTCCATGGAAATGAGATGTGTAAATGCTGATATTAGTGCACACCAAATGTCATTGACTAACAATTAGTGCATGTAGTGGTTCATCTTAAACTGACTTTTGAAGTTTACATGTCAAAAGTGATGATTTTCTAAAATTTGTTTGACATTTCACAGTAATATCATACTTTAACTTTGTTTAAACCTGTTTATTTACTTTTGACTTTAATTATTTATCCCTTGTAATTTTTTATTAACTGTGTATTTGCATTCAGGTGTCACAGGTCAAATTTATTCGTTCATAGTGTGTTAATTTACGTTTTTTGATTGAGTTAAGCCTTCCAATTGATATTTTATAGTGTGTTTTTCTATGTTGTGATGTTATACTATTGTTTCAGAAAAGGGAGAAGGTTTGGTACCATTAAAACGTTTAATCCCGCTGCAAATGTTTGCACCTGTCCTAAGTCAGGAATCTGATTACAGTAGTTGTCGTCTGTTTATATAGTTCATATGTGTTTCTCGTTTCTCGTTTTTATATAGATTAGACCATTGGTTTTTCCGTTTGAATGGTTTTACACTAGTAATTTTTTGGGGCCCTTTATAGCTTGCTGTTCGGTGTGAGCCAATGCTCCGTGTTGAAGGCCGTACCTTGACCTATAATGGTTTACTTTTATAAATTGTACTTGGATTGAGAGTTGTCTCATTGGCACTCATACCACATCTTCCTATATCTATGTCAATAGACCATGACTGAGGGAGAGGGTCAAATAATGTCCATGGAAATGAGATATGCCAATGCTAATACAACTGTATACCAAATATCACTAGTGTTTCCCCCTTAAATTGACCTAATCACAAAAAATAACATATTGATTGATTGGTCATGTTGGTGTTTAATGCCACTTTCAGCACTATTTCGTGGCAGTCAGTTTTTATTGGTGGAGGAAGCCAGAGTGCCCGAAGAGAAACACCAACCTTCAAAAATTAACATATAAACTAAGCAAAAGTTTCAAAGTCAATAGACCATGACTGAGGGGGCTGGCCAAATTATCTTGATGAATATATATATGAGATGTGCCACTGCAAATACAATTGCAATAACCCCATATCATTGCCCTACCACTAGTGGTTCCCCTTAAACTGACCTTATCAAAAACGGTACGCTGAAATCTTGATTTTTCTACTCCGATAAGGAAAGACATACATTTACATGACATAAATGCAAACTGTTCTGCATTTCACATACATTAAAGGCTGGATGGAGCATATATACATGTATAGTCACAATTTTAAGGATCAATATATTTTCCTATGTGTGCATCCATCCATCCTGTATCAGATTAAATTTTGGTATCAACATCAATGTATTAAGCCATAGATTTCATTGTTCACCGAACATGGACCTGCGAAAGTGTAAGCTGGGCACGTTGTCCTATGAACTTATTCTTGTATTTTTTAATTTGTCATGGCTATCCTCTAATTTGGTGACCTCAGTGGCCAAGTGGTCCAAGTAGTTCGTGTACCATCTACAGGAAACACTAGTCTGTCAACAATGAGGTTAAGAGTTCAAACCTCTCTTGTTGCAAGGTGCGTTTGACACTGATCTTACTCATGGACTATTATTGTCAGTTTTCCTAGCAAAGGTCATCAGTTTTCTCCAGATACTCTGGCTTCCTCCACTTATAAAAACTGACCATCATGAATAAATCCAAGTGTACTAAAAGTGGCATTAAATATCAACAATCAATCAACCATTTAATTTTTCAGTCTAAGATTAGGATATTATTAAATGCATATAATAAAACAAGAACTTGCTTAAATATGACTTCCAAACTTATGACCAAAATGTCAATAAATGAACATGTACAATGTACATGCATTAAAGAGGGTCTGGATGGGGATCCTTAATTTCTGTATTCTTTAAATCTTAGGGCATTTTTCTTTATCTTAAAAAATAATGCTTATTCATTAAAATTCTCATAAAAATGATTTTACTATTAAATTTTTCTGAAATTAGATAATTTCTTTACTCTGTACATCATTAATTTTTATTTTCCAGTTATTCTTTATTCTTTTGCACCAAATTATTCTCATTTTAAATTTTTTGCCTTATTTTTCTCTATTCATTACTCGTGTTACTTTGCTTGGCCGTTATTCTATATTCTGTAAACTCCATCTTAACCCTTATTAGAGGTAAAAAAGTGGATTTTTTTTATTGGTTAAAGTAATGATTCAAATCTCATGATCCTTTTCTTTCAATCATTTCTTATTTAATTCATTTGCAATTATTGATACACACCTGAAATCTGTTTCAATCGATTATATCGATTTAGATGAACCCTGCTCACTGAAATCCAGCTTTGGTAGTCATAGCAACACAGGAAGTATGATGAAGATTTACTGCCTTGAACAATATCATTGAAAAGAGAATCATCGATACCACAGCCACTACACCAAATGTTACGATGTGGCAATAGGTTTACAGACGTTTCTTTATCATAGTCTTGATTGATATGTGATACTTCTAATACATTAAATAAATAATCTAACTGAAGCTGCCGAAAGGAATGAGAAGAGTTGCCAATTTGTAATATTCTCTTTATTGACTTTGGTACGTTTATGAAAGAATGTGTTTTTGCCAGGCGTTTTGAAGCTGATATAGAAAGTTCTACAAGTGAAGGAACTGCTTTTTGAATATTTGTTTCAAGGTCAACTATTTCCTCTCTTAACTCACTTAGTTCTATGTCAAAGCTTTCAATATTACAAAAAGGTAAATAACCAAAACCAGTGACATTTCCAGATTTTTTTCTCTTTCGTTTTTGTTTCTTGCTTGGAGCTCTTTGTCTTTCTTGAGTTGTTTTTATTTGAGATGATAAATGTGGAGTATCTGCTTGAGAAAAGTTTGAACTACAACTTGATTGTAATGAGTCAAAAACAGAATCACTACTTTGATCTAAAGGGCCGGTCTCCACTGATTCATCATCTGTAGAGATACTGGACGAGGACGATGTAAACAAGAACTCTTCTTCTGCTGAATAATATTCACTACCATCTGAATCTTCATCAGGATTCACTTCCATCTGGTTTGAATGAGCTCCAGTTCTATGTTTCTTTCTCGAATCAGAAGTTTGATGGAGTTCATTCTTACTGAACTCCATTGAAATGATACGAGCATATTTTGGTCGACATTTTTTCTGCTTAATTAAACGGTCTAGTCCTTCTGCATCTTCTTCCATATTTTATACCTAAATATGAAATAATTGTAAAAACCACCATGTTCAACTTATTTCTGAGATTCTTTTATGGTATATTTTAAAATTATTATTTATACAATCTGACTAAAATACAAATCTTCTTGCTTTTATTTCTGTTATTCGCATTAAAGCCACAGTGACGCCTTCAACATGGATCAAAAAGAATCCTGCATTTTTTTAAACAAAATTCCTTAATTCAATGAGAATACATTTATAATTGCAAACATGGTAAATGGAGAAAAAATATTTATGGATCTATTGAATTCCAATCCAGCTGTAAAAATAATAATCTCCTTCACAACTTTTTAAAATAAGATTTCTATTAACACTAAGTACTTAATGAAAAATCATAATAAAAGTTAAAATTTTGTACACAGAAACAATGCATATAAAGTTTTAGACCATGCACTTACACATTGTTCCAGGTCATCATATTTTTTTTAGTTTTTTGGGTTTTGTTTAATATGCTTTTCTATTATTAAAGGGCCTCAGGGAAGATTAGTTATATATTAACTAACCATGCTTACTGTTTAACCCTAATAAAATTAAGTATTGTTGTTGTTGTTAAATGTAGGATGTATATAATATGCAAAACAAATTGAAATGTGACATTTAATTCAGTGCCTCATATAGAAAGAAATAGAAATTCTTTATTTGACCAATCATGGACCCTTGCTGGTTTTAAATTTCATACAATGATCCCAAAGATTTTTTAAATGACAATAAAATATAACAAAATAGACCAAAGCAGTCTGCACCATAAGCCACTAGTCATGCCCCAGACTAGTAAAATTTTACATGTTTGTCACTTATTTGGACTAGTAAGTATTTGCAAAAATTTGTTTAGACACATAAGAAAAATGTTGGAATATTAGTCTTCGGACTAGTTGTTGAAAAATATTTTGGTGCAGACTGCGACAATGAGTAGTCAGTGTATACACATGAGAGAGAAATGTTTATAGGGGAGACAATCAATTAATATTGTAAGGATTATTTCCCTTTGGCTTTGAACAGTATCTATTATAAACTTTCAAGAATTCAGAGCTGGAAAAAAAAAGCCCCAGCTTATTAAATGTGAGGGTAACTTCCTGGCCGTAACTTCCTCCCATGTACATGTAGCAACCACATTACAAAATATTTCTGTTTAAGAAAAAAAAACTTTAAGAAGAGATATGACACTATTTCAAAGTAAAAATCTTCTTTCTGTTTTGTTTTATTGTTTTGCCTATTCATTTTTTGGAACGTTTTTGTTTTTGCATGCAAGAGAACGTCTTTGAGTCAAAGGAATCTACCTCATTGCGACCCTAGCAATCATACCACATCTCATTATTTGTATGTTTTGCTGCTAAAGATGGACATGACTCCCCTTTTTCACAACTGATATTTCGAACATTTTACATGTTTGTCACTTAAGGAAATGTTTATTACCTTCTGAAAGACCGGCTTACCTAGCACTACACTTATAGTTTGACGGTCAAATATTGATTTTATGTAGAAACAGTAAATCTAGCAAAGTTGTTGCACAACAATTCTGAAAAAGTCTTTATGACGCTTTTTCCGGGAACCGTAATTGTTTTCGATTTTTCAAACTTATGTAAACTTCCGTCATAAACATAACATTATTTCGCACAATGCCAAGACGGCGTGACTTTTTACCCCAATATACCCCAATATACCCCAACATACCCCAATATACCCCAATATACCCCAACATACCCCAATATACCTCAAAAAGCAGTTTAAACATAATTTGATTGAATAACAATGTTACACTAGGCATTTAAATGTTATTTTAACGACATTAATACTTTATTTTATGAATATATTTAATTTTAAATCACTTTTTCCTTCGTAACTTGTTCTGTTCATGTCAGCCGCTTACGATCACAAAATGACTTTTTACCCCAATATACCCAAATATACTCGAATAAACAGTTTCAACACAGTTTCCACGATAAGGAATGATATAACAAGCAGAAATATTAAAATTGAACACAACTGTTTACATTTTTTGTGCATTTAGAGGCTTTTTAAAACACGGGTTCTTTATTCATGTATTGACGAAGGTTACACTAAAAACCCGAACGAACGAACCTAAAAATATACCGGTAAATTTTTGCAATTACTTTTATCTCCCTTAAAATTTTGAGATTGTAAATGCATTTTGTGTTTTGTTTTCTATATGATGTTTTTTTTTCTAAAATAAAACTCGAAATTTTTTCTCAAATTTGGAAATATTTTCTCAAATGTTTGTTTTCTTTGAAAATAATATATAATCCTTATATGTTAAACATTTAAAGTTTTCTGTTTATGTTTATAAAATTTTTGTATCTTTCACTCAGTTAGGACATTGGTCAGCGGAAATTCTATGTTGGTCAGGTCGGTGTGTTCACGCTTCTCGGACCAACATCTGGAATTGTTTGTCATGCCAAGAAATCCTTGCTCAAAACTCCGATGGACCTCCTACGGCATCCATTACTAGTTAAAGATTAAATAGAAAAATATAAACCTTTCAAATGTAGCGTTTATAAAATAAAAATATTTCCTGTGGAACACCCCCAACCCCCTTTTTTGCGCTCTCTATTTTCAACCCTCGAATTAAGCTTTCCAATCTAATTAATTTAAAAATTAAAACCTAGCTTTCTAACTGATCTATTCATGTACCGGACCGGCAACTCTCGTTATTTTATAAGAAAATCTACAATGCCGTTATACACATGCGTGTTGTCTGCTTGGAGTCTCCGCACAGGCACTTGACTCAGAATAAATACCGAATATGGAAAGTGGAACTACAATTCAAAACATAAAGTCCGAAGGCACATAGAAGAAAATTTATTTTTTTTTGCAAAGGATGCCGGGGTAACCCTCCATGTGTTCAAAATATACATGAAATATCATAACCCCGAGTTTTCGATCTGTTACATGCCAAGAAATCCTTGCTCAAAACTCCAGTGGTCCTCCTACGGCACCCATTTGTAGATTTGATTTTATTCAACAAAATAATGTATGTCCTGCATGTACGTATCGCTTTGAAAACGGACATATGCCTATACCAAATGGTCAATATTAATCATCCATGTAATTTGCTCTATGGTAATTTTTTAGCTTTTAAAGGTAAAAAATCCATGTCGGAGAAAGGTGGTTTTTTTTTTGTCAAAGAGATTAATGAAATTTACCGGTAAATGGAGTTACAGTGAATCCAATTCAATTTAACAATGGTGGGTTGAACCTGGTTTTATGGCAAGCCAAATCTCTCTCTTATAGGCAATGTTAGAAATACCGCTAAATTGACAATAAAATTTGTATTTATGGCGAAATAATACACTATAAAATCTTGAAATTACTGAGGCAAAGGGTTTTTTTTTTAATTGCGAACATATCAAAAGTATTATGCAGAAAAAAATCGGCACTTTACAATCTTTAATTAAGCACAAAAAAATTTATCAATAAAAAAAAAAGTGCACTCAAATATCTTGGCTGCTTTATTTATCATGATTGAAGAATGTTGAAAATCTGTAATATATCTTGATTGCTGTTTCATTGAATATCTCACATCTACTTTATTAATATTCAGAATGCTTTAAAATTGTTTTTAAAATTAGGAAAAGAAACTTGAATTGTGTCTTGTGTCTTACTAATCGTTGACTGAAGAAGAAAAAAATGAAGACACATATTTGCTAATTCAATCTTTATGTTTCTGTGCTCTATGACGGGTACGTCATAAGTAGGAGATATCGATATGGCGAGGAGTGAAATTAATCGGGTTATAAAAAATTGGTGTTTTTTTTTTCGAATGATTTTGATTTTTTTTCTAAAATAAAATTTTCTATACAAATTCGCATTTTTGCTATTACAAAGGTATATATAGCTATTCTATAAGAACTAAACAACTTGAATGATACAATTGTCCGAGGAAAATGCTTTTGATGTTCTGTTAAAAGAGGAGAAAGTTTAAGATATCCAGGGGACTCCACAAGATTTGAGAAAGAAAATCGTTTTTCCAATTTTTAATCATATAAATTTACATACTCTTAAATAACTAGTTTCTAATTGAAACAGTGTACTTGTCGGATTTCCTATCAGAGAACAGAATTAATCATCATTCTATAGAGAAACACTAAAGGAGGTTAACTTCACTATCTATTTGTATGTAAAAAATATTTGTACTTAGAAATAATTTCATTCCGATATATAAAACAGCAGAAAACCAAACGAAACAAAACTAAGTACATGGCATTGCATAGATGTATAATCTATGGTACATGATATCAGCATGTGATTTACAGCTATATTTCAATGTTTTTTAAAGAAAAAAGCAATTTATTGTAGTCTCATTATAATAGTGTTTACCTGCTACTGATGCATTATGATAATTGTTATGTTATCTGTTTTATTTGTTGCTGTTGTTATTCGTATAGTATGTTTCTTTTTGTCAGAATTGCAATATGGTATTTTATGTTCTTGCATACTATAGAGACGTTAATCAAGTGTCTTGTTTTAAATTCTGATAGGTCGAGTAATCATCAAACTTCAAAATGTTGAATTAGTTGAATTGTACTGCTAATTGTAATTTTAAACTTAGTGATGTGCAATTTGATAAGTTATTCAATAGATTACACTCGTGTCACAGGATATCGATGTATACCCTAGGTGGTCATTCAGGTTCAATAAACAATGACAGGATGTTGTTGATTAATTCATCTGTTGAAACAACAGACCAATCCGCATTATTTTCCAGGACTCACACGCAGTACTAGTTATCTCTCATACCTCAAAATACAGAACGCATCAGCTCAATCAACATTGTGAGGGTCTTGATGGGGTTTATAGAATCAATGAATAGTATATTTCAATGTGAAAATAAATTTTGAAAAAGAATTTGACTCTGTTTTCCTCTTTGTTTCTATCATTTATCATATATTTTGTTCTCCATAATCACAAAAACGCACTACCCTTAAAGTATTAATAACATGGAACAATTCAGAAACAAC